AGCTTAACCATTACATAAAATGATACTAATTTATCAAATCGAAAAAGACAATATCATCATGTCAAAGGGACCATGTAACAATTTGAATTATCTCTCTCCTAGGTGACTCGTCCTAGAGAATCCAATTGCGGTCTAGTGATATACACATTTACAATGTGTTCTTATGATATACACCCGGGGAATCCCTATCCCCTATGGCTGAGGACCCCACCACATCTCATTTGTCGATATTATACATAATAACTTGTTATAACTAAGTTATCATTTAAGGCTAAGCACAATATTTAGAAATTTCTAAGTTAGATCGTATCTCCAAGCAAATAGTTATCATAATGCATGATCTAACAATCTAATTTCTAAAGTTATTATAACAATGATAAAAATAATTCCCAAATTATATGTACGTGCAATAATTAAATCTATTAATATTTTTAAAATACTATATAATCTGTATCAGATATATAATCTGTATCGGATGTCCAATGGCATATTATTACTACTCCCGCATTTTGTTTATTCTTACAAGTGTGAGGACATTCCTGATGGTTTTTTTTTTAGTGCTTGGAGGCATTTCTTTTAGTTTTTCCAATATAAAGACGTTTTGGAATTCTGAAAATGGAGCTCACATGACCAAAAGAATGATGATTTTTTTAAAATAATAATAATATATAATGATGATAGATGTCCAAAGCAACAAAAACTATTTAAAAATTAATATCACTAGTACAAAAATAGCGGCAACTATCCTAGGATAGATTACACAATGATTAATTGAAATACGGAGTGGAAGGAACATATCTCCGCGTCAACTCGATCGAACTCATTGTTGTGTATAACAAACCCTAGTTATTCATCGTCTCGAAATTGATCCCAATAGAGTCAGGATTGTTGTACGCGGCGGAAGTCAAAACCAAACCGTACTTCGAGAGATCAAATCAAACAAATGCTGAGAGAAAGTCAAACAATACAAAATAATGACACAAACTCAAACAACCAATTTTAACATGGTACGACAAGTTGCCTATGTCTACGGGGCAAGAATGGGATGAGGTTTTCACTAATAAAGAAGAAGAGTACAAACTAAGATTACAAAATCACACAAACTCACCAATTAATCTCACCAACAAAGTTCTAATTCTCTCCAAACAAAACTAGATTACAAAATCACACAAACTCACCAATTAATCTCACCAACAAAGTTCTAATTCTCTCCAAACAAAACTCTAACCAATAGCTCAGAAAATACCTTAATTAATCTCACCAACAAAGTTCTAATTCTCTCCAAACAAAACTCTAACCAATAGCTCAGAAAATACCTTTTTCTGTGCTCCAAATATCTCATTCGCTGCTCCCCAAACCTAAAACGTGTTCCTATATATATAGAAATCCTAAAACCAAAATCATACTAATAATTCTAAAACCAAAATAAAAACAGATTAGGAATCCTAATAACATGTTAACAAAACAGATTAGGAATCTCAATAACATGTTACCAAAACAAATTAGGAATCTTAATAACCTGTTATCCAATAATTATGTGCTCTGGGGTTTTTCAATTCTTGTGATAGCAATGTTGAGTATACCTCTTGTTGTGTGCGGCAGAAGTCAAAACCAAACCGATGTGCTTCGAGAGACCAAATCAAACAAACGCCGAGAGAAGGCTAAACAATGCAAAATAACGACACAAACTCAAACAACCAATTTTAACGTGATTCGGCAAGTTGCCTACGTCCACGGGACAAGAAGATTATGGAGTTTTCACTAGTAGCTAGAGAAGAAGAGTATAAACTGAGATTACAAAATCACACAAACTCACCAATTAATCTTACCAACAAAGCTCTAACTCTCTCAAAACAAAACCCTAACCAATAGCTCAGAAAATACATCTTTTCTGTGCTCCAAATATCCCCTTCGCTGCTCCCCAAACCTAAAACGTGTTCCTATATATATAGAAATCCTAAAATCAAAAGCATATTAGGAATTCTAAAACCAAAATCAAAACAGATTAGGAATCCTAATAACCTGTTAGCAAAACAGATTAGAAATCCTAATAACTTGTTTCCAAAATAGATTAGAAATCCTAATAACCTGTTATTCAATAAGGATCAAGTCAATAACTTCAAATTGAAATAAAGGCATTAAAATCTCTTGTGTCATCAAGAGATAGGAGACTTCGTCTGAGGAGGAATTAGTTATAGCACATCCCTATCTCCTGTCAGCATTGTGACAGAAGGTAAGGATCACCGTGTTGTTTGACATTGAGATAAATTAAACGCTGCGATTACAAGCGAACGTATACATGCACATGAGACATCAAAGATTAAAATTTCCAACCTTCATGCGTGTTTCTCATAATAAACGCCTTCAAAGATTTAAATTTCAACCTTCATGCATGTTTCTCATAAGAAACTTGATGTAGGATACTTAATCTGAGTTGGAGTCTATTTAGATTAGGAAATAAATTCAATTTTAGAGTCAAATTAGATTAGAAAACAAAATTAATTTTGATTCATGATTTGTTTCCTCTATTATAAGGAGTCTTTTTAGGATAGAATATGACACTTTCTATTTTTATAATTCTAATCTTACTAGGAGTCTTATTTGTTTTTCTATTTAAGAAGAGTCATGTATCCAAAAGGAGAATAGTTTTTCATCAATAAAATTTATCTTTTCAATATTTTCTTCATGGATTTGAAGTTCTTCGTGGATTTGAAGATCGTTCTTTGTGGATTCAGAGAACATCATTGGTGGATTCCGAGGTTATCACTTCCGCGTTGTGTCAATTGGTATCAGAGCCTTGTTCCTCCGATCCGATGGCAGGTGATGAAGCCCCTATTTCTCGAACTGAGTTCGATGTGCTAAAGGCCAATGTTAATCAGATGAAGACTATCATGGAGCGACTTGCGGCGGTAGTTGAGCGTCTGAACACGACGGGAGTTCAAAATCGCGTTGATGGTCGCCAACGACGTGATCCGACTCCACCGACTCCATATGGTGAATCCGACAGCGAGGAAGATAACTATGTAACCCCATGCCGCTGTTTTTATCACAGAGACCGTCGAGGAAGGGATAGTTATGATGCTGGAGGTTTCAAGATGAAGATGGATCTGTCATCTTTCAACGGGCAACTTCACATCGAAGAATTCCTCGATTGGATTGCAGAAGTAGAGAGATTCTTTGAGTATATGGAGATTCCAGAAGAGCATAAGGTAAAATTGGAGGCCTACTGACTCAAAGGTGCTTCAGCTTGGTGGGAATCTGTTTGTCTGAATCGATCTCGTCAAGGAAAGCCAAAGGTCGATAGATGGGGAAAGATGAAGAAACTACTGAGAGCCTGTTTCTTGCCAAGTGATTATAAACAAGTTTTATTTGGACAATACCAGAATTGTAAGCAAGATGGTAGAACTATGGATGAGTACACACAGGAGTTCTATCGAATATTATCCTGCAATAACTTAAACGAGAGCGAGGCATGACAGATGTCCAGATATACGGGGGGAATTGAGGATGGTGATTCAGGATCATGTATCTTTGCAGCAGACCTATACCTTAGCTGACACTGTTAGCCTAGCTGAGAAGGTGGAGCGACAACTCGGACGAAATAGTAAAGGATTATGGGCATCTTCCGAAGGGTCGCGCACGAGCTTTAATCGTGGTGGGAACAAACAGTCTCAAACTATTTCTGATCAAGATGCTACAACGGAGAAGGCAAAGAGTCCAGCAACAACAATAACAAAGAAGACTACACCACTGAACCCATATGTTAAGCCTGACCCGATAAAGTGCTATAGATGCGGACAGCCTGATATATCCAATCAGTGTCCTAAAAGAGGTGTTGTGAGTATGGTGGATCACGAAGACAAGGACATAGATCAAGACGAGGCTGAAGACTATGATGGTGGATTGGATCCTGATGATGATGGGGAACAACTCTCATGTGTTGTGCGGCGGCTATTATTGGGCCCAAAGACAGAAAAACTACTACAGAGGCATAACATCTTCCGCACGAGATGCACAGTGAATTAGAAGATCAGTGATGTCATTATTGATAGTGGGAGCAGTGAGAATATTATCTCTCGGCGCATGGTGGAGAAATTAGGTTGAAGACGGAGAAGCACCCTGCTCCCTACAAGATCGGTTGGATTCGTAAGGATAATGACGTGCAAGTTGATGAGGTGTGTCGGGTATCTTTTTCCATTAGCCGAACTTATGTTGATGAGATATTGTGCGATGTAGTTGAGATGGATGCTTGTCATATTCTGCTAGGTAGGCCTTGGCAGTTTGATGTTGATGCCACGCATAGAGGGAAGGATAACGTTTATATCTTTAAGAAGGATGGTCAAAGAATTGTGCTCAAGCCTCTAACCTAGAAGGGACCTGTCAAAACTAATGTTGCTGAAAAGAAGACTTCTTTGGTCGTTGACAATGAAGACTTTATGAAAGATGTGAAGTAGTCTGATGAGGTTTATGCTCTTGTTGTCTCAGGAAAAGTGGATTCTACCATCGTCAAAATTCCACCTGAAATACAGACCCTCTTGTAGCAATTCGATGCAGTGATGCCTGATGATCTTCCGTCTGAATTACCACTGCTTCAAGATGTTCAGTGTCGGATCGACCTCATCCCGGGATCTCGACTACCAAATTTGTCACACTATCGAATAAGCCCGAAGGATGGAGAAATTTTACAGAAGCAGGTGGACGACCTCATCCTAAAAGGCCTTATACGACCTAGCATGAGTCTGTGTGTCGTGCCAGCACTACTAGTCCCGAAGAAGAATGGAGAGTGGCGCATGTGTGTGGATAGTAGGGCTATCAACAAGATTACCATGAAGTATCAATTTCCTATCCCACGACTGGAAGACATGTTAGATATGTTATCAAGATCAAAAGTGTTCTCCAAGATAGATCTCAAGAGTGGTTATCATCAGATTCGGATTAGAGAAGGAGATGAGTGAAAGACTGCTTTTAAGACAAAAGAAGGCTTGTATGAATGGTTAGTCATGCCTTTTGGTTTTTCTAATGCTCCTAGAACTTTCATGCGTTTGATGAATCAGGTATTAAAACCCTTTATCAGCAAGTTCGTTGTAGTTTACTTCGATGATATCCTGATTTAGAGCCAGAGTGAGACTGCACATCTAAACCACTTGAGGAAGATACTAATAGTTTTGCAGGAGAATAAGTTGTACATCAATCTGAAAAAGTGCAACTTCATGACCAGTAGCCTTGTATTCCTAGGCTTTGTCGTTAGTGCAAAGGGCATCCATATTGATAAAGAGAATGTGCGTGCTATTCGAGAGTGGCCTACATCGAAGACTATCTGTGAGGTTCGTAGTTTTCATGGCCTAGCAATGTTCTATAGGAGATTCGTCAGAAATTTTAGCAGTATAGTAGCTCCTATCACTGAATACATAAAGAAAGGCAAGTTTAATTGTGGAGTAGAAGCAGATCGTAGCTTTGCACTCATCAAGGAGAAGTTATTCACCGCACCAGTGCTTGCACTTCCAGACTTTCAAAAGGTGTTTAAAGTTGATTGTGATGCGTCCATCATAGGAATTGGTGGTGTGCTATCTCAAGAAGGGCGTCTAGTTGCTTTCTACAATGAGAAAATCAGTGAAGCTCAAATGGACCACATATGAGCTAGAGTTATATGTCATAGTTTAACCTTTGAAGCATTGGGAGCACTATTTGATCTCACGAGAGTTTCTGCTTCATACTGATCATCAGGCCCTGAAGTCCCTTAATAGTTAGACTACCATCAACCATATGCATGCTCGTTGGATCGCGTATCTACAACATTTCACTTTTGTTTTAAAGCACAAATTCGGGTAGTAGAACAAGGTTGCAGATGCACTCAATCGGAGAGTTGGTTTGTTGGTGACTTTGCAAGCAGAAGTGATTGGATTTGAATACCTAAAGGAGCTATATGCAGAGGATGAAGACTTTAAGGAGATTTAGGATGATTGGCAACAGAATAAATCAGTCAAAGGCTTTCATATTCAGGATGGTTATTTATTTCATGGCGATCAATTGTGCATACCCTAGAGTTCGCTAAGAGAGCAGATAATTAGAGACCTTCATGCTGGCGGGTTAGGGACAATTGGGGCAAGACAAGACGATTGCTTCTATTGAGGAGCGATATTACTGGCCTCGGCTGAAGAAGGGAGGAGAAAAATATGTGTGGCGTTGTCTAGTTTGTCAAGTTGCTAAGGGACAGTCTCAGAATACAGGATTGTATACACCTTTACCTGTTCCAGATGCGTCCTGGCATGATATCTCTATGGACTTTGTGTTAGGACTGCCTAGAACCCAACGAGGTATGAATTCTATTTATGTTATGGTTGACAGGTTTTTGAAGATGACGCACTTCATTCTATGTAAGAAGACTGCAGATGCTAGCCACGTTACTAATCTTTTCTTTCGGGAGATAGTTCGCCTTCATGGAGTGCCAAAATCTATCACATTCGATCGTGATTCTAAATTCTTATCCCACTTTTGTAGGACTTTATAGCAGCGGTTCAATACTTCTCTTAAGTTCAGTACTGCTTATCACCCTCAAACAGATGGCCAAACTGAAGTAGTAAATCGCACTCTCGATAACCTTCTTAGATCCATCTCTGGCGATCGTCCGAAGTAGTGGGATCTTGCTCTGGCACATGCTGAATTTGTTTATAACTGTATGAAGAATCGAACTATAAGTAAGGCTCCTTTTGTAATTGTGTATGGAAGGCTTCCAAATCATTATCTTGACCTTGCTTCACTGCCTAAGCTTCCCGGACAGAGTGTTCCTGCAGATCATATGGTTGAAAAGATACGGGCTATCCAACATGAAGTTAAGGAGAAGATAGAGCAGTCTAATGCTAAAATAAGAATGATGATGATCGACACAGGAGGAAGAAGGTGTTTGAAGCGGGAGACATGGTGATGGTGTTTCTGCGAAAAGAACGTTTTCCCATGGGCACCTACAATAATCTGAAGAATAAGAAGTAATGTCCCTACAAGATACTGAAGAAGATTAGCGACAATGTTTATGTGGTTGACCTTCTTACAGATTTGGGTATCTCTCCTAGTTTCAATGTTGCAGATTTGTTTGAATATTATCCGCCAGAAGAAACAACTATTTATGTAAGTGTAAGCTCGGGGTCGAGCTCTTTTCAAGCAGGGGAGACTGATGTAGGACGTTTAATCTGAGTTGGAGTCTATTTAGATTAGGAAATATAGATTAGGAAATAAATTTAATTTTAGAGTCAAATTAGATTAGGAAACAAAATCAATTTTGACTCATGATTTGTTTCCTCTATTATAAGGAGTTTTTTTAGGATAGAATTTGACACTTTCTATTTTTTTAATTCTAGTTTATTAGGAGTCTTATTTTTTTTTCTATTTAAGAAGAGTCATGTATCCCAAAGGAGAATAACTTTTCATCAATAATTTTTTTTTTCAATATTTTCTTCGTGGATTCGAAGTTCTTCGTGGATTCGAAGATCGTTCTTTGTGGATTCAGAGAACATCCTTGCTGGATTCCGAGGTTATCACTTCGGCACTGCGTCAAAACTCCTTCAACATCACATGGCGCTCCTGATTGGAAAAAAAAATTTTTTTTCCCTGTCACGTGGATTTTACGCATGAAAATTCTAGTTATAGAGTAATCAAAAGCAGTATTATATCTCCATGTTGGAAATTAAGATTGAAAACTTCGAGGATAGATTCTAGAAATATTCGGCATTGGCTCATCACCATGATGTAGTTAAGCACGTGTAAGACCGTGCATAAAAATTGAGTAAGATTATAATTAATTACCACATTAAGCCAGCAGATCACGGTTTGGTTCCAGCATGTTACGTTAACATATATTATTTTAAAGCTGAGGACAATACTTTGAAGATTACTTCAAGTTTTCAATAAGGGCTGTTTGGTTCTCTGTTTTTGAGGGAAATGCTCTCTTGAAAGCCTGTCAAAAGTGTCAAAAATATCACTTTTTGACGGGCTTTCAGCTAAAATCTTTTTTTAGAGGCGATTTTGGCTGAAAACCTACCAAAAAGTGACACTTTTGACAGGCTTTCAAGAGATTTTTTCCCTCAAAAACAGAGAACCAAACAGCCCTTAACTTCAAGGTCAAATTTCTTTTTTCGGAAAGAATCACCCAAGCAAATTTACAGCGTGTTTGGGAGTTTACTAGGAAAATGGAAGGAAAGATAAAATAGGGAAGATGAAGGCAGAGAAGAAGAGGGAAAATGTAATATCTTGTTTGAGTGTTTAATGAAGGGGGTGGAGGGGAACTTGTTTTATCATGTTTGGAAATTTTAACTAAGCAAAACGAAGGGGAAAATATAATATAATCAAATCTCAACCATTGATCCATAGTAACAAATGGTCAATCTTTTTTTATAGCGAAGGAAAAAATGTATTATAATCAAATCTCAACGGTTGATCCATAGTAACGAAGCGAAGGAAAAAATATATTATAATCAAATCTCAACATTTGATCCATAGTACTAAATAGTCAATCTTTTACGACTATTTCTCATCCCTCCCTCTCCCTCCTCTACACCTCAATTGTGTGTGTGTGGAGGGGTGGGGGGGGGGGGGGGTGGGGCTTCACTCCTTTACATTATCCCTTTCAAATTCACTTCCCCAACTCCTACCCTCCATCCAAACACACTGTAAATGATTTGACTACTAAAGATGAGCAATTAATTTCATAGTCACATAATCTCTTCCAATTGAAGCGGTGATTTACCTGAAATTCTAATGAAAAACTCAAGAGACTTAAATAAATAAAAACCTTTTTGAGTAACAAGAAAACTCAAGTCGATCGAGCGATAAATTTAAGACATGCAACCGACGAACTCTGATAGCAACTCGTCCAATTAAGACACTGATCAAACAATAAAAACAAGTAATCGTCACACGATTTAGTCCAATCTCATCATCACCAACAAGCGGAGGGGCCTAAAAAAATTGAAAAAAGAAAAAAAATTCAAAAATTAAAAATAAATAAACGTCTCCTTTCACCTCCCTCTCTCTAACCTCACCGGTGAGCGGTGACCAGAGTCTCAATAAAGCGCAGCCCATCAAATCTCGGAGCAAATCTATCCGTTGGACCGGACCGTCTCCTCTCCTGATCATCGACGTCATCGCACTTCCTACCTCCCTGAAAATAATCAACAGGCAACGCGCATCGGCTACCAGAATTATAAAAATTTAAATAAAAAAAAGAAATCGCAAGCAAAAAAAAAAATCACAATTTCACACTTCAATCTACCGACCTGAGGCTGCGACGATGTCGGATCCAAAACATGATCGGGCATCGGATCAGAACACGCGACGCAACAGCGGCCACCACGGATCCGGTTCTCTTCATGGCGCCGCCCGAATCCGCTGTATTTTCTTTCCTTACCTATTTTATTATCAAATAAATAAAATCCATCGAAATCTTCTTTTCCGCGTCTACATATATAGATCGCTGTTCGTTCGAATTCACGCGCGGTAAACGAGGGTGACCTGGACCTCCCTTCTAGAAGCCACGTGAGGTGATATTCCTAAATTGCCCCCGGCTTTCCGGAACACTCTCCCGAGGTTTCAGGGGTAGAATAGGTAATGCAGTCGAGAGGGGCGAGAGGTTGTGGTTGCTTGAGACTTCGTGGTCGGTTATGTTAGCTGGAGATCGTCTGGCCGGTACCTGCGAGGCGCTGAGAGAGCGCCACGTGTATGGGTTCTGGAAAGCCACGATGGTCGCTAGACGGTCTCTCGCTGTGAGTGGCCGTCAACGAGGGCTCCCACCAATTTTCACTCCAAGCTGAAGACGACCGCATTGTGATTTTTCAGTTCTTTGGGCGAGAAGATTTGGGCGTGAATTTGTTCTTACTTTAGTTTGGTCTAAAAGAGAACTAATTTAGAAGTTGGAATTTAAACTAGGAAAAAAAAAACAGATCAAATTCGACCAAGTTTTGCCAAAACTAAAAATTAATTTGGGACTATATGTGGATTCACTAAAACTATTTCTTTGGAGTTGCCAAACACGCACTTGGAATAATCTCCCACAAGCGCCCCAAACTGTCAGGGTTTTGCACATAATTTCTCAGAATCTTTTTTATCTGATAAATCTTTGAGTTTTACTACGTTTAAGAAATTCCTCTTAAACTCTAAAAATTTTCCACTTGCCACCTCACTCGTTGCATGTTGGTTGGTGTTTGCCAAGTTTTTTTTGTAAATGATGTGTGACTCAATTTTAGATTTTTCCTTAAAAAAAGATTTTAGTTATTTGCCACTTAATGTAAATAAGGGGTTCGGTAAGAAACGTTTGAAATTCAGGAGTTTTTTCACTCTGCAAAGTTCAAGAAGATTTTTGTGAAATTTACCCTTTTTAACATTTTAACTTCGAAGTGTCAAATTGGCAGCTGAAAGAAAAATTTACAAAAATTTGAAAATAAGAGCGTGAACGCGTGTTTCGCCTACATATTTGTCCTCTTGGAAAACAAAAACATTCCCTTTTTCCTCTAATCCCGAAGAACTGGACATGATGTGAATATGGCCTTTGCCCTAAATAAAAAAAATGAAAATGTGAGGTCCCTTTAAAACTGAGGATACCATAATATTGTTTCTTATAATATAAGAGTGAGGAACTCAATTGGCAGTCGCCTAAAGAGACTGCTAGGCGACTGCCAATAAACAATCGCCTAAGGGCTTGTTTGGATTGAGGGGAATGAGGGTAAAATGAAGTTAGGGGAACCATTCACCTCCATTCACCTTGTTTGGGAATACTTAGGAGGTGAAGTTAATTCACCCTAGTTCTCCTTGGTTCACCCCCAAATAGTATAAAATTTGTTACCCCCAAATTAGGGTGTAACCAAGGGGAAGGGAACTCCCTTCCCTTCCCTTCCCTTCTCTCAGTTTCCTTTAGGACCTGTTTGGATTTGTAGGGGGTGAAGGGAAGTTAAGGGAAACAGAGAGAAGGGAAGGGAAGGGAGTTCTCTTCCCCTTGGTTACACCCTAATTTGGGGGGTAACAAATTTTATACTATTAGAGGGTGAACCAAGAGAAACTAGGGTGAATTAACTTCAACTCCTAAGTGTTCCCAAATAAGATGAATGAAGGTGAATGGTTCCCCTAACTTCCTTTCACCCTCATTCCCCTCAATCCAAACAAGCGGTTAACTTCCCTTCACCCCCTACAAATCCAAACAGGCCCTAAAGTAACTAAATTTAGTGGGCTAACTTTGTGTAAAGCACCTTAAATAATTTGATTTTGCACCTATCGGCAATTGTACAAAGATCTATGATTTTCAACGATGACTAGTCTTCATTTGATAAATTAAATAGTGATTGCTTTTTTCCGAGTTTATTGCTACTCTGGAGTCTGGACTACCCATTCTCTATCTTCAATTCTTTTCACCTGCAACATTGCCCATCCTATTAAACAAGGACGTGGACAAATGACATGTACGGATCTACCCATGCCTTGTACAAGCAAATCTCACATCAATAAACTCGTTGGTTTTCTTTTAAGGGCCTGTTCGTTTGTTTTCTAAAATCCAAGAAATGGAAATGGAAATGGTGAAAATCTCAAAACTCACCATTTCCTCCATTTCCATCCCTAAAACTCACCCACAACATCCAATAAAATATTATTTTCATCCAACAACTCATCCACATCATCTAATAAAATATGATTTTCATCTAACCACTCATCCATTACATCTAATAAAATATTATTTTCATCTAACAACTCATCCATCACATCTAATAAAATATTATTTTCATCCAAACATCACTCAACTCATCTCTTCTCATCATTTCAAATCACTCACATCATCCAATAAAATATTATAACAATTCACCTCATCTCATTAACATTTCATTTCTTCATTTTCATCCCAAAAAGTTATGAAAACACTTTTTCTTAATCTTTCTTCACATCACCCAATAATACAATGACAACTCATCTCATCTCATTTCATTTCTTATTTTTAAGAATGAACCGAACAAAAGAAAACAAGAAACTACAGGAAATAGGTTTCTTATAATTCATTTCCTTATTTTTTTTCGCCAACCGAACACTCCAAAACTAGTTTTCTTAAAAAATCTCAAACATCATCCAATAATAAGGTGACAACTAACATCATTTCAATTTTATTTCTTTGATTTCCTTCTTTTTTAGCCAACCAAACACTCCAAAAACAATTCTTCATTTTAATAGTTTTCCATTTCTTTGATTTCCCTCTTTTTTTTTAGGCAAACGAACAGGCCCTAAACGAAGAGACGCTTTGATTGATACACCAAATCCATAAGTCTTTGCATATTTTTTTCAATAAGAATAAACCTCCTCTTGTGTTTTAAACTCCATACATTTATAGGGTATGACAATTTCACAGTGCTCATTTGAAATATTTCTACTTATTCCTACCCCATCTTCCACATCTTGGCCATTAACATTAGCATGAACCAGGGTCTAATCACATTCAAATGAATCAATATTTATAGATCCATGTAAACCAAAGTCCTCCATCACACACCTGACATGAATAATTCAAAACTTTATGATCAATATACATCAATTATAAAATAATAATCAGATTATTAAAAATACAAAAAATATAAAAGAGAGAAATATAAATATATACCTCAAATATGAATTTATCAATTATCTTTTGAGCTTGTCCTCAACGATTGAGCACCAATAAAACAAAAATCAGTAATTAAAGAAAGAGGTAATGTTAGAAGAGAATGAAATAGTAAATAGATTGGAAGAAAGTAAAAGGAGAAGTGATTTTTAGGGCTGGAAGGAAATATAAAGTCTTAGCGCCAATCGGTAAAATATGAGAAAAGAAATTAATTGGATTAGGAGCTGATGAAAACACAAGGATATTGCTGTAAATTAACTTTTGGATTTTTATATCAAAACCATATTTACTTATATCCAAATTGATCTTTACAATCTTTAAAGCATTTTTTAATCAAAACCATGTTTACTTGTATACATCTTCACAATTGACATTGTTTTTACTGTTCACCCCTGGAATGTCCATAATGACCTCACATCTTCTTGTTTCTCCATCTACTTCCTCCCCAAACTCTTACCCTAACCCTAGCCTCCTCATCTTCCTCTTCTCCTTCCCTCCTCAACCTCTCTAGAATCACACCTCAAACACCGCCGCCGCCCCATGACCACCACCTCCCTCCAAGATCCTAACCCTAATCCTAGTTCCCACTTGGAGAGGAATGGAAGAGTGGGAGCTCGGGGAGAAAGAGGGAGAAGGAGAGGGAGGGGGAGGGGAGTTGGGGGAGGAGGGTGAGGAAAGACGAGGAGAAGAGGATGAGGAGGCTAGGATTAGGGTTTGGGAAGGAAGAAGGTGAACGAGAGAATAGAGTTGGGGTAAAATGGTAATTTCTGGCTTTTTTGGGTTAACAGTGAAAAAACTATCAATCGTGATGTATGCAAGTAAAGACGGTTTTAAAAAAAGTTAAATATGGTAAATATCAACTTGGGTATAAATAAAGATGGTTTTGATGTAAAAACAATGAACTTCTTTCCCAACTATATTTGATTCCCATTCCATATCCGCTGCGCAACTGGCAGCCATTGTCCAAAAGTCGTATGTATATATATTTTTATGGTATAGTTATCATTACACCTTTGTTTTTGTTTTGCCATTACCTGCCTCAATCAATAATAAGTGATTAAATTGGTAGCTAGTTCGATTAAAATTAAAACTCGACATGATGCTCACAAACATATAAAATTTTCTCATCCACATGGCACGCGCGCAAATTCAAATACTATAATTTTGCTCTGCTTTAATCTTGAAAGAACGCAAATATTGAATTAGAATCTGAAGTAACCTTACTGGCCACAGTCACTGATATTTAGTAATGTGTCTACATCATTCAACGTTGATATGCTACCAAGAACAAGTCGCAGACGCAAGTTTCAGTCACAATCTTAAAATTATTATCTGCAACTAAAATAGAGGAAATCAATAATTTAGAGGGTCAAGTAGATGCACCTATCACGTGTGATTTGTTATTAGTAAGGACGAGTCATACTGATTTTGTTGACGTTGCATTAGGAGAAATAATTGACATGCATGCATGTAAATTATCAAAGATCTGCAAGCCTCTCTATTACACAATAGGAGAAATCTACTCTATAATGATATATCTACTCTATATGATATTCACACCCTTCATTCCTTGTTTTATCTGGCTCCACATCGTGTATGTATTTTCAGAATTAAATATAACTCCCTATTTAAAAAAGATCGGTCCGTCAAAGTTAGAGCTGAGGTGCCAATATTGAGAATAGAAAGTAAAATTTCAGATATTATTTAGTTAGTGAAATAAAAAGAGGTCATGGGGCTATGTGCAATAACTTTTAAAGTTCAGGGGGTTAAGTCTAATAAAAAAATTGATGGGGGTTTACTGCAACTCCCTCAAAAGTTCATGGAGGTAATTCTGTAATTAACCCTTGCTAATAATTTGGAGAGTGGTAACTGATCTTTTAAAACTGTGGCAAGCTCTCCCCTGTCCATTACTTTCTTAATTAGACATGCATCATCAGAGGTTTTAACACACTGTTAACAAATACCTAACGGATTCCGGCATACTTTATTTAACTTTATTGAAAAGATTAGATGATGGTAGACACATAGTAAATGTTTACGTTTCCGAACATTCTCATCTTTCATGAAGCGCATCTTAATTGGCAAACATATCACCTTTTATATGAATAAATTGTTTTTTCCCCCATGAAACACACCCTAATTGGTTTCAAGACAACTCCAAGTTTCTAGGGGTGGCAATCTAGACCCAAACCCAATAATCTATCCATACCCACCCACAAAATAGTCCACCTATACCCAACCACTTAACAAAGCGGGTCCTAAATGGGTGGGTATTACTTCCCTGCAGCTAACCAGTTCATAACCGGACCCGCCCATTACCCAACCTAATCTGATCCGCCACCACAACCACGTTCTCCTTTCTCCCCTTTCTCAAATGCTCGAGCCCTAGTTCCTCTCTCGCCTCTCAAGCGCTCGATTTCACCTCATCTTTCTCCAATCGAGCCCTAGTTCCTCTCGATCGAGCCCTAGTTTCTCCGATCAACCCTTACCGGGGTCGATTTCACCTCATCTTCCTCTCGATCGAGCCATAGTTCCCCATCGAGCTTCCTCATCTCTCCAGTTGAAATTCAGGCCTTTGATCGAGCTATTACAACATTCAGGTCTTCAATCGAACTAATCACTAGATTTTGAGGTACATTCAGGCCTTCTTTCAATTTTGGGGTTTTTAATCATGTCTCCTTTCAATTTTAGGGTTTCTTGATCAGGCCTTTGATCGAGCTCTGAAGTTTTAATCCGCTGAGCTTGCTGAAGAGAGGTCCTCCTCAGGTTTTATTTTCTAATTTATTTCTCCCTTGTAAAATGTTTTAGTTTCTCAGCTTTGTATTGCATAGGCATGTCAAATAGGTGGTTTTGGTTGGGTCATAAATAGGTGGGCACATTTATGTCACTTGACCATTTATGACCCATTTATAAATGTGTCACTTCTCATCCACTCATTTACTAAATGGGTGGTTCATGGGTGACCCAATAACCCAATTAGTTACGATGCTTTTATTATATATATGTAAGTTTCAGAGATCTACTTGCAAACTTTCAGGGGTTTTCTGTAAACTTGCATGGGGGTTTTGGTAAAATTTCAGGGGGCTTTCTATAAACTTTCAAAGGGTTTTCTACAAACTTGTAGGGTTTTTTGGTAAACTTTCACCAACCGTAAAATCAGTATTAATATTGCTAATAAAATAACCATCCGTACCAGCACAATCACCAACTTTTAAATCGCTACCAATACCCGGTAGATAATACTTTTCCAGCCTGAAACACAATTTCACAGGCGCAAGCACAGGCAGACAAATTATCGACAGAAAAACATCAACCTCAAAAGCTTCCTCAGCTTAAAAAAAGACGTTCTGCATATAATGAAAATCAAAATGTGAAGCGCTAAGATCTCAAGCATTATACACAGCATTACAACTAGTAAACATTATATAGATCAACATATGCTGCAAGAGATTGGTCTTTTTAGTCCATTGTCTATCGAACAATAACCACTATAAGATAAGTTAAAACTGGATGAGAGTGAAAGGGGCGGTTGATCTTAGACTTTTCTTAAACTACTGATCGTTCTCAAACTCATGTATATGATCCAAAAGGTAGTTTGTTGTCATCTCTTCGCTCTTGTTGCAGGCAAAGAACACTTACAGTATAAGAGCTCGAGCAAATCCCATGGCCTCAAGCTGCAACATCACATGCAATTTAAAAGAAATTAGCCTCTATATTAAGCATCCAATTCAACAACAATGTGCTCCAAACAAAGAGATGTATCAGAACACACTAGAGCTCCTGCCAAGAAGAATGTGCTCCAAACAAAGAGATGTATCAGAACACACTAGAGCTCCTGCCAAGAAGCCACTATGTTTGCAAATAAATTAACTAGTTATTCAATGTCAATTTTATCGAACATCCTACTTATGTGCATGAATACCAATACACGTATACGTTAAACTAGATAAAAATATGAATAAATTCGTGTGAAATAGCCTACATTCACTAATACGGAATACGTATAAATGTTAGATAAGCTCAAATAAATACGACAACATTGAAATACATAAATTTTATACGGTATTTGTTTCTGTAGCTAATTTTCCTCTCAGCCAGACGAGCCCTTAGATATATTTTCCATGTATATCTCTCTCCTCCTTGGATGTAATCTAATGAATGCAATTTGAATAGCAAGGCAAAGGACTGAAACCAAGTGCTTAAAAAGTTGGCTCGCACTTATGCTTTCAACATGATGCATGAATTATTATCCACTATTATATAAAATCTTGAGAATTCTACTACTATGAAGGATATGGAAGATTTAAAATGAGGAACTCCTCACACAGACTGTAACCCATAATGCGTGGCTTGGTTTTGGTGGAGATATTGGTGAATTCTCACTCTCCTATTTTTTTCATTTTCAATTGTGTGACTTCAAATTTGAATAGATTCCATATATAATAGATTCCATATATAATAGTCCATGTAATAGTTGGTAAGCTATTGGCTGAACAAAGGAGGAATAACTAATCAGATTAAATACAGATTAATACCTTAATAGATGACAAATCTTCTAACAAGCACTTCACCACCCTCCTTCAGATTCAAAATTTTGAATATCACTAAAATCATGCACCAACAGATGTCCTTCTTCAATATCTTCCAAAGTTGCATTTAGATCATAGGATACAAGTATGTTAGTCTAATATAACACATGTACACCATAAATTTACAGAAGGTAACAAGAAAAAGTAAGCAACTTACAAGGAACCCCATCTAACCAAGAACCAAGGCATATTTGAGCTTCGGCATTTTCCGGAAGAAGACGATTGCGGTACTTATCAAGCACACGACCAGCTATGCTGAAAGCAGATTCAGAGGCCACTGAAGTAATAGGGATACTGAGTATATCACGAGCCATCATGGATAATTGAGGACGCTTCTCAGATTCTACTTTCCAATATTCAAGAACATTCAGTTTCTCATTTTTCTTCCAAGAAAGTATCTTTTCATCTAAATACTCTTCTAATTCAGAATTGGTCCTACTGACTGAAACTACTTGGCTCTCAAACTGTTCAAACTCAAGCATCTCATCATCACGAACATCTCCAAAGGCCTCTTTCGAACTACTACCGGCCATGCATATATCATTTGATGCTCTCTCATATTCTTTGTAAAGAAGCTTTAACTTATCCAAGAGAGTCACCACTTGTGTAGAACCAAGAGGAAAACAAAACTCCACATATTTCACCTTATAACGGGGGTCTAAGATGCATGCAAAGAACAAAATCTTGCTATAACACTTCCAATATTTATTAAACTTTTTCTCCATATCATCACTTGCCATTGATTTTATGTCTTCATCTTCACTTGTCATCTCCTCCTTTATGCATTTTTGTATCTTCCAAACTCCACCAAAATACAAGTTAGAAGTTGGCTATTTACTTCCAGAAAAAAGAGTGCACACTTCATAATAAGGTTTCAAGAACTTTGCTATTTTTTCAGCCTTTACCCATTCTTCAGTTGATGGACAAAATGTAAAATTTGAATCGATTACCTTCAATTGCTCAAATGCCCGACGAAAAGGTAAAACACTCTCCAACATTAAAAAGGTGGAATTCCACCTATTGGACACATCTTGTTGAATTTTCTTTGCACTAACTGAACAAGTTTGTTCGATACACTATGCAAATTTTTTCTTCCTTCCAGGGGGACTCTTTACATATTTAATGCATTCTCTAAACTTGGATAAAGATTTATCAATTATTTTTAAACCATCTTGTACAACAAGATTTAAAATGTGAGCACAACATCGTACATGCAAAAAATCACCATTTGAGACAAAATACTCCTTTAAAGCAGGATGGTTTTTTAAAATCTTCATAAAAGCATCATATACATCTTGTACAACAAGATTTAAAATGTGAGCACAACATCGTACATGCAAAAAATCACCATTTGAGACAACATACTCCTTTAAAGCAGGATGGTCTTTTAAAATCTTCATAAAAGCATCATTATATGATGCATTATCCAATGTAACAGTGAAAATTCTTTTTTCTATGCCCCACTCCTTCAGTAAATGAAATAGCTTCTCTACTAAAATTGCCCCACTATATGGGGGGTGAAACATGAGACAAAGCTAATATTTTGTTTTGCAAGATCCATTGCTCATCAATGTAATGTGCAGTAAGAGACATGTAGTAATCTGATGTTGAAGAGGTCCACAAGTCTATAGTTAGACTGATTCTGCTAGGAACTAGCTTCAAAGTTTGTTTAAGAATTCTTTTTTCTTTCTGGTACAACTTAAGCAAGCTTTAGTGGTGTTCCTTGAGATATGCTTGACTTCAGGATTTAAAAATGTATGTAATTTGCGTATCCCTCGATGTTCCACAAAACAGAACGAATAACCATGCAATGCAATGACCCTAGCCAACATTTCTCTGTAATTATCTTGATCTAATGGCATGGTTTTCCACGATGAATCAGCCTCATCTATATCCCGTTTTGGGCAAGAATGAATATGCCTCAACATATTTGTGGTACCATAACCACTAACATAAACTTGGTCATATTTCTTGCACTGAACTTTAGCTTTTCCATCACTATCAACAGGCAACCCAGTAAAATACTCCCAAACTTTTGATTTTGCTATTCTTTTACGTATAGATATAGTTTCATTACCAGATTCACTACCATCATCGCATGCAGTAAATTCATTCAAAGACATAGTAGCCGAAACAAGAAAAATAACTTTTAAATATCAAAACAAATGTCAAAAGTTAATAAAATAGCTTCATATATATTAAATAACTAATGCGGCAAACACTAGCTTCAGATTTCTAAAATGCACCAACAAAAAGGAAACTTTGCATAGTAATCTTCCGACCCAAAAATCCGTCAAGCCAAATAATCACAACTTGGATGCAGCCTACATGTATACTTTTTTTTTTTTGTGCAACAACGTGAAGTAACTTGAGGCACATTGTTAAAAAGAATTATGATATATATTTCTAAGTCTGTTCTACACAAGTTCAGGGCACCTATATGCGAACACATTAGACTTAGGCTTGCAATTTTGATCCTTTCCTTACATTTGTAGGCTTGCAATTATTGGTGTCAGATAAATTTGTGAGCAGCATAAATTATATAAAAGAGGCAAAGATTGGTGAAATTGTCAAAAAATGGTCGCATGCTTTCAAAAAATGATCATACCTTTAGAAGAATAAACTGTTTGAGTGTACTTTATTTGGTGCCTGGTTATCAAATTTTGATCAGCTTTTGGGTAACTGGTGCATTCTTCAGAAGGAAGCGTATGTTTTCTTTTGTTGTAGTTGTATATGTGAGTGGTGAGCCTTGATGTACCAATAGGCATTGATGTACTATATTGGCTGTGATTCATTTTGGTTTGATATATGATGACATTTTTTATTGTGAAGAAACATTGTGTACATGGATTAAAAACCCAAACTTACAGAGTAATCTAATTAAAATATTTACAGTTTAATCAATTTTCCAAACACTTATTCAAACAATTATATAGACCTATTAAGTAGACAACATATCGCAATAATCAACTAAACCAACTAAGTAAACTAAATTGACGAAACCCGTGACTTCAATAGAGCTATATATCGTCACCTCTAAATTTTAGAAACTATAGTACATGAATCGTAAACAAAATTACATCAAAAATAAGTAACTGAATGCTATTTTTGCAAAATAACTAATGCAGATGTACTGTTTGACAAATTGCCGTAGTGAGGAAATGCAATACGAAGCTGAGTAACTAAAACATTTTACAAGAGAGAAATAAACTAGAAAATAAAACCTGAGGAGGACGTCTCTTCAGCGAGCTCAGCGGATTAAAACTTCAGAGCTCGATCAAAGGCCTGATCAAGAAACCGAGGACGTCTCTTCAGCGAGCTCAGCGGATTAAAACTTCAGAGCTCGATCAAAGGCCTGATCAAGAAACCCTAAAATTGAAAGGAGACAGGATTAAGGATTAAAACTTCAGAGCTCGATCAAAGGCCTGATCAAGAAACCCTAAAATTGAAAGGAGACAGGATTAAAAACCCCAAAATTGAAAGAAGGCCTGAATGTACCTCAAAATCCAGTGATTAGTTCGATTGAAGACCTGAATGTTGTAATAGCTCGATCAAATGCCTGAATTTCAACAGGAGAGAGATGAGGAAGCTCGATGGGGAACTATGGCTCGATCAAGAGGAAGATGAGTTGAAATCGACCCCGGGAAGGGTCGATCGGAGAAACTAGGGCTCGATCGAGAGGAACTAGGGCTCGATCGGAGAAAGATGAGGTGAAATCGAGTGCTTGAGAGGCGAGAGAGGAACTAGGGCTCGAGCATTTGAGAAAGGGGAGAAAGGAGAACGTGGTTGTGGTGGCGGATCAGATTGGGTTGGGCAATGGGCGGGTCCGGTTATGAACTGTTTAGCTGCAGGGGAGTAATACCCACCCATTTAGGACCCGCTTTGTTAAGTGGTTGGGTATAGGTAGACTATTTTGTGGGTGGGTATGGATAGATTATTGGGTTTGGGTCTAGATTGCCACCCCTAGACTATTGTATTTCCTCACTGCGACAATTTGTCAAACAGTACATCTGCATTAGTTATTTTGCAAAAATAGCATTCAGTTACTTATTTTTGATGTAATTTTGTTTACGATTCATGTACTGTAGTTTCTAAAATTTAGAGGTGACGATATATAGCTCTATTGAAGTCACGAGTTTCGTCAATTTAGTTAACTTAGTTGGTTTAGTTGATTATTGTGATATGTTGTCTACTTAATAGGTCTATATAATTGTTTGAATAAGTGTTTGGAAAATTGATTAAACTGTAAATATTTTAATTAGATTACTCTGTAAGTTTGGGTTTTTAATCCATGTACACAATGTTTCTTCACAACAAAAAAAGTCATCATATATCAAACCAAAATGAATCACAGCCAATATAGTGCATCAATGCCTATTGGTACATCAGGGCTCACCACTCACATATACAACTACAACAAAAGAAAACTTACGCTTCCTTCTGAAGAGATGCACCAGTTACCCAAAAGCTGATCAAAATTTGATAACCAGGCACCAAATAAAGTACACTCAAACAGTTTATTCTTCTAAAGGTATGATCATTTTTTGAAAGCATGCGACCATTTTTTGACAATTTCACCAATCTTTGCCTCTTTTATATAATTTATGCTGCTCACAAATTTATCTGACACCAATAATTGCAAGCCTACAAATGTAAGGAAAGGATCAAAATTGCAAGCCTAAGTCTAATGTGTTCGCATATAGGTGCCCTGAACTTGTGTAGAACAGACTTAGAAATATATATCATAATTCTTTTTAACAATGTGCCTCAAGTTACTTCACGTTGTTGCACAAAAAAAAAGTATACATGTAGGTTGCATCCAAGTTGTGATTATTTGGCTTGACGGATTTTTGGGTCGGAAGATTACTATGCAAAGTTTCCTTTTTGTTGGTGCATTTTAGAAATCTGAAGCTAGTGTTTGCTGCATGTATTAACTTTTGATAGTGTATAGAAATCTGAAGCCAGTGTTTCCTTTTATAGTGCATTTTATCAACTTTTGACATTTGTTTTGATATTTAAAAGTTATTTTTCTTGTTTCGGCTACTATGTCTTTGAATGAATTTACTGCATGCGATGATGGTAGTGAATCTGGTAATGAAACTATATCTATACGTAAAAGAATAGCAAAATCAAAAGTTTGGGAGTATTTTACTGAGTTGCCTGTTGATAGTGATGGAAAAGCTAAAGTTCAGTGCAAGAAATGTGACCAAGTTTATGTTAGTGGTTATGGTACCACAAATATGTTGAGGCATATTCATTCTTGCCCAAAACGGGATATAGATGAGGCTGTTTCATCGTGGAAAACCATGCCATTAGATCAAGATAATTACAGAGAAATGTTGGCTAGGGTCATTGCATTGCATGGTTATTCATTCTGTTTTGTGGAACATCGAGGGATACGCAAATTACATACATTTTTAAATCCTGAAGTCAAGCATATCTCAAGGAACACCACTAAAGCTTGCTTAAGTTGTACCAGAAAGAAAAAAGAATTCTTAAACAAACTTTGAAGCTAGTTCCTAGCAGAATCAGTCTAACTACAGACTTGTGGACCTCTTCAACATCAGATTACTACATGTCTCTTACTGCACATTACATTGATGAGCAATGGATCTTGCAAAACAAAATATTAGCTTTGTCTCATGTTTCACCCCCATATAGTGGGGCAATTTTAGTAGAGAAGCTATTTCATTTACTGAAGGAGTGGGGCATAGAAAAAATAATTTTCACTGTTACATTGGATAATGCATCATATAATGATGCTTTTATGAAGATTTTAAAAGACCATCCTGCTTTAAAGGAGCATTTTGTCTCAAATGGTGATTTTTTACATGTACGATGTTGTGCTCACATTTTAAATCTTGTTGTACAATATGGTTTAAAAATAATTGATAAATCTTTATCCAAGTTTAGAGAATGCATTAAATATGTAAAGAGTCCCCCTGGAAGGAAGAAAAAATTTGTAGAGTGTATCGAACAAACTTGTTCAGTTAGTGCAAAGAAAATTCAACAAGATGTGTCCAATAGGTGGAATTCCACCTTTTTAATGTTGGAGAGTGTTTTACCTTTTCGTCGGGCATTTGAGCAATTGAAGGTAATCGATTCAAATTTTACATTTTGTCCATCAACTGAAGAATGGGTAAAAGGCTGAAAAAATAGCAAAGTTCTTGAAACCTTATTATGAAGTGTGCACTCTTTTTTCTGGAAGTAAATAGCCAACTTCTAACTTGTATTTTGGTGGAGTTTGGAAGATACAAAAATGCATAAAGGAGGAGATGACAAGTGAAGATGAAGACATAAAATCAATGGCATGTGATGATATGGAGAAAAAGGTTAATAAATATTGGAAGTGTTATAGCAAGATTTTGTCATTTGCATGCATCTTAGACCCCCGTTATAAGGTGAAATATGTGGAGTTTTGTTTTCCTCTTGGTTCTACTCAAGTGGTGACTCTCTTGGATAAGTTAAACTTCTTTACAAAGAATATGAGAGAGCATCAAATGATATATGCATGACCGGTAGTAGTTCGGAAGAGGCCTTTGGAGATGTTCGTGATGATGAGATGCTTGAGTTTGAACAGTTTGAGAGCCAAGTAGTTTCAGTCAGTAGAACCAAGTCTGAATTAGAAGAGTATTTAGATGAAAAGATACTTTCTTGGAAAAAAATGAGAATCTGAATGTTCTTGTCTGAATTAGAAGAGTATTTAGATGAAAAGATACTTTCTTGGAAAAAAATGAGAATCTGAATGTTCTTGAATATTGGAAAGTAGAATCTGAGAAGCGTCCTCAATTATCCATGATGGCTCGTGATATACTCAGTATCCCTATTACTTCAGTGGCCTCTGAATCTGCTTTCAGCATAGCTGGTCGTGTGCTTGATAAGTACCGCAATCGTCTTCTTCCGGAAAATGCCGAAGCTCAAATATGCCTTGGTTCTTGGTTAGATGGGGTTCCTTGTAAGTTGCTTACTTTTTCTTGTTACCTTCTGTAAATTTATGGTGTACATGTGTTATATTAGACTAACATAGTTGTATCCTATGATCTAAATGCAGCTTTGGAAGATATTGAAGAAGGACATCTGTTGGTGCATGATTTTAGTGATATTCAAAATTTTGAATCTGAAGGAGGGTGGTGAAGTGCTTGTTAGAAGATTTGTCATCTATTAAGGTATTAATCGTGCTTGTTAGAAGATTTGTCATCTATTAAGGTATTAATCTGTATTTAATCTGATTAGTTATTCCTCCTCCTTTGTTCAGTCAATAGCTTACCAACTATTACATGGACTATTATATATGGAATCTATTATATATGGAATCTATTCAAATTTGAAGTCACACAATTGAAAATGAAAAAAATAGGAGAGTGAGAATTCACCAATATCTCCACCAAAACCAAGCCACGCATTATGGGTTACAGTCTGTATGAGGAGTTCCTCATTTTAAATCTTCCATATCCTTCATAGTAGTAGAATTCTCAAGATTTTATATAATAGTGGATAATAATTCATGCATCATGTTGAAAGCATAAGTGCGAGCCAACTTTTTAAGCACTTGGTTTCAGTCCTTTGCCTTGCTATTCAAATTGCATTCATTAGATTACATCCAAGGAGGAGAGAGATATACATGGAAAATATATCTAAGGGCTCGTCTGGCTGAGAGGAAAATTAGCTACAGAAACAAATACCGTATAAAATTTATGTATTTCAATGTTGTCGTATTTATTTGAGCTTATCTAACATTTATTCGTATTCCGTATTAGTGAATGTAGGCTATTTCACACGAATTTATTCATATTTTTATCTAGTTTAACGTATACGTGTACTGGTATTCATGCACATAAGTAGGATGTTCGATAAAATTGACATTGAATAATTAGTTAATTTATTTGCAAACATAGTGTCTTCTTGGCAGGAGCTCTAGTGTGTTCTGATACATCTCTTTGTTTGGAGCACATTGTTGTTGAATTGGATGCTTAATATAGAGGCTAATTTCTTTTAAATTGCATGTGATGTTGCAGCTTGAGGCCATGGGATTTGCTCGAGCTCTTATACTGCAAGTGTTCTTTGCCTGCAACAAGAGCGAAGAGATGACAGCAAACTACCTTTTGGATCATATACATGAGTTTGAGAACGATCAATAGTTTAAGAAAAGTCTAAGATCAACCGCCCCTTTCACTCTCATCCAGTTTTAACTTATCTTGTAGTGGTTATTGTTCGATAGACAATGGACTAAAAAGACCAATCTCTTGCAGCATATGTTGATCTATATAATGTTTACTAGTCGTAATGTTGTGTATAATACTTGGGATCTTAGCGCTTCACATTTTGATTTTCGTTATATGCAGAACGTCTTTTTTTAAGCTGAGGAAGCTTTTGAGGTTGATGTTTTTCTGTCGATAATTTGTCTGCCTGTGCTTGCGCCTGTGAAATTGGGTTTCAGGCTGGAAAAGTATTATCTACCGGGTATTGGTAGCGATTTAAAAGTTGGTGATTGTGCTGGTACGATGGTTATTTTATTAGCAATATTAATACTGATTTTACTATTGGTGAAAGTTTACCAAAAAACCCTACAAGTTTGTAGAAAACCCCTTGAAAGTTTATAAAAACCCCCCTGAAATTTTACCAAAACCCCCCTGCAAGTTCACAGAAAACCCCTGAAAGTTTGCAAGTAGATCCCTGAAACTTACATATATATAAAAGCATCGTAACTAAATGGGTTATTGGGTCACCCATAAACCACTCATTTAGTAAATGGGTGGATGAGAAGTAACCCATTTATAAATGGGTCATAAATGGTCAAGTGGTCATAAATGTGACCACCCATTTACGACCCAACCAAACCCAACCAAAACCACCCATTTGACATGCCTACAAGTTTCAGATGAAACTAAGGTGAAAGTCTGTTCAGCCAGAGCTGCAGCAAAATTGGAGTGATCTAGTTCCAGTGAAAACCATAACATCCAATCCTAGCATCATAAGGAGAGACTATTCTGCAAGCCTGATCCTAAGCTTGAGTACAAGACTGATGATGACGAACCCCCAACTTATGTATAACAAACCCAAGTAAAGACCGAAGTTGAGCTTCAGCCTTCAGGCACATTGCGAGATGTCTATCTTCATACTATATAAAATAGCACGAAATATCACAATAGTCTATCATATATAAGGAAAAAAAAAACCTCAACGCAAACTAGGGAACGAATGTCCATCTTTGAAGACTAGGTGATGATGCTTCCGGTAAACATTCTAGTTTGATTTCTAATTTTCACAGTTATATTTCTCAGGGAGATGCACAGAATGAATTACGTGTGTTTATTCGAGGTGCCGTGCTCAGAAAAAAAAGCACTAGTGTGTTAAGTCTAGAAAAGCCAAAAAAGCACACCAGATAGAATTTAAGGAGACTCTAGTTGGAAAAATGACAAGGTGCCACTCATAATCCATTAAAGCTGAATCCCCCAAGCGCCAGTCAATAATACTGTCAGATACAGGATTTAAACCTGGGAGGGAAAGTAGAAAGTGGAAAATAGGTATACATATGAACCTTGTTGAATCGGGTCAAATCAAATATCCAAAGGAGTATAAAAACAAGAATCATCCCTTTTTATATACCGCTGAAGTACAATTATCTTTATGCAACCAAACCATCATTCAAATCTCTTTATTATCGTTTTTATAGGAAATTATCTTTCAGAGTCTAGACTCGTCATTTAAATGATAACTAGGAATATTCCAAATGTTGCCTGAGCAAAATGATTAGCTGGCCAACAACCAAAAGCATCCCTTATTTCATCACTAATATTTTAACATCATTCCTCAATTGGACCTCTTCTATAGTCTCAACACTTTACAGTTTGTTTAGTGCATCTACAACATATCTAAGTCCTGAAGACTCTCAACAAATATCAATATATTCCCACCACTTTCTACAACCAGTGATGCTTCACCAAACTAACTAATTTGGAAGTCTGGGCATAGCTAAATATTTCTAGACTTCTTCATTTATATTGTAGATCCCAGGCATAAGAACCATCGATACAGGTTCTATATATGCTTATATGATCCTTTCCATTCATAATATTGAATGTTCTTCAACTTGAGCTTTTCAATTCAAGTATCATTAACCAAAAGCTTGCGTATCCATCCGTACTGGTTCATAAGTAGACGCAGATTCATCAGCTGAGGGGCTGAAGACCCCAAATGAGTAATGACTCACAATCAAATGGAGTTTATGCTTAGATCATACGCTTAATTTTGGATGTCAGCATTACAATGTTTCACCGCTATTCACTGTAATACATGGAATTTAGTCTATGTATCAGTTGTGTCATCTCGCAAAGAATGACTACTGATGATGTCAAAATGGACATGGGCGAACACACATGAATGTCACTTTATCGCTTGTTTGATTTATCATTTAGCAAATGAAGACTTTTATGGGTTTAAGAACATTAAGTTTATTGTCGATCAGGCCTTCGGTTGTATTTGCTTGGACATGCTTCACTCCTAGCTGAAAAACACCATAAGCATGTAACATAATCTGTAACATAACCTCAACGGAATAATCCCGACCAGAGCATATCTAAGCTTCAGAATTGACAATGCTCTCTCATACCATAAACTAAGGTTTTAGGAGGTCAGAATCTTCCTCTAAACATCCTGTTACACCTGTTGCTAGATTTGGAGATGGCGAAGGTTCACAAAGTACATAGTGGTCCTCAAACTTCTAGAAAACATGAGGGACTGCCAAAAGCACATCACAATCTTAGGGAAACTTTTCGGTGTACTGAAATGAGCCTAGAAAATTGTTAATAATTCTCCCTTCCTCCTTGTCCCTCTTAGAAACATAGGTGCACCAATGTTTTCTTCTTTGCCCACAAAATACTACCCATTTCTTATTTCTAACTTTGTAAATTTAACTTACTTAAAAAGAATTTTACATGAGAATATGAACAAATGGTCAAAACTTTAAAAGTTCATTTCGAAGTTTCAGATGAATATTTGCATGTCTATTTAAATTTCGGAACAACCAAATCAGCGTAAATGGAGATTAAAATAGGAACTCCGTATGATAGCTTGTATATATCACACTCATATCTGAAAAGGTAAATTTCAGTAAACCCCCAATAACTTTAGGTGTTTGGCACTTAAACTAAAAATTTTCGAACTCTCACTAAACCCTCCGTAACTTTGGGAATTCCAGAAACGCCCAGTATGTCTCCCCCTTTTTTTCATTTCATTTCATTTAACCCCCAATGACTATTTTGTGACATTTATGTGATGAAAGTATTTTCACTGTAGACCCAAACCAATTTTTTATTACCAAAATCGACCGATTTTTTTTTAATTACCAAAATCGACCTGTTTTATGCCACGTAGGCGTAATCCAGTTTCCTAATTAGTCGGGGTTGCCAACCCCGACTGTTTAGGAGTTGTTAAACCGGGTTTTAAGGCTTCTAATCGGGGTTTAACAACTAAATTAGGAAACTGGATTAAGCCTACGTGGCATAAAACGGGTCGATTTTGGTAATTAGAAAAAAAATCGGTCGATTTTGGTAATTAAAATTCCGTTTGGGTCTACAGTGAAAATTTGTTCTTTATGGGATATTCTCTGTTTAGGAACTCAAAATATGGACTGTCGCCATTATTTGGGTTAAGTAAAAGAGGGAGGAAAAGAAAAGAAGAAAAGGTTAAAAAAACGTTTTGAGGGTTTCTGGAATCCCCAGAGTTATTGGGGATTCAGTAAGATTTCAGAACTTCTGGTGTTTAAGTGTGAAGTGCCCCTGGGGTTTAGTGAAATTTATCCGATCAAAAACTTCATATATCAAATACACACATTCAAAATTTTCATAAGAACCAAATACCTCTTCCTCATTCTCCTTCCAGCAATCAAGAAGCCGAGCTCACAGCGCCGCTCTTGAGCAGTTTATCGACATACTTGCCGAGTATATCCACCTCCAAATTAACCTTATCCCCGACCTTCTTCGTTGGGATCACCACCTTCATCTGAGTATAAGCCACCAGCATGAAATCGAAACACCCCTCCTCCTCGTAAACCCCAACCACCGTCAAGCTCGCTCCGTCCACCGTTATGAACCCTTTCGGCACGATGTACCTCATCACATCGGCCGACTCAACCCTCACCTTCACCCACAGCGAATCCCCCTCAGGCCTCACCGACACGATCTCCCCCGTGCAGTCCACGTGCCCCTGGACGAAGTGGCCCCCCATTCGGGAGACTGGCTGCAGGGCCCGCTCGAGGTTGACGGGGGAGCCGGGGCCGAGGTCGGAGAGAGAGGTCCTGCTGAGGGTTTCGGGGGAGAGGCCGACGGAGAATTGGGAGGAAGCGAGGTCGAACTGGGACACGGTGAGGCACGTGCCGTTGACGGCGATGGAGTCGCCGAGACTGACGCCGCCGAGCACGGTCCTGGCGGAGATCTTGAGCTCGATGCCGTCGCCGGAGGGGGTGGGGCCCAGGTGGCGGATCTGGCCCATCTCTTCGACGATTCCGGTGAAGAGGGATCTGACGGTAAGGGAAGCGGGCTTGCATCTGAGACGGTGGGGTGCTCGTCGGGAGAGGGAGGGGGTTAGGGTTTCGAGAGGGGAGAAGGATTTGGGAGTGAAAGCGGACGACAGCATGTTGAATTTGAGGAGAGGCGACGACGATCTTGCATAGGGCGCAGAATCAGAGGGAATAGGGAATTTGACACGCAATATTAAAAAAAAAATTGACACGCAAAATAAAATAAAAATAAATTATTGAAGCACAAATACATAAAAAAATTAAAAGGTCCCACCGAGACTTGAACTCGGGTTACTGGATTCAGAGTCCAATGTCCTAACCGCTAGACCATGGGACCTGATGGCTCATTAATGAAGCATTCTTTTATAGTCTAAGGGCCTGTTTGGTTCACCAATGACTAGGAATAGGATTAGGAATCCTATTTAATTTATGGATTCCAACCTAATCCATAAAAATTTTATAGACAAGTTTGAGTTTTATGGAATCCCACTTTTTTTGGCTTTAATGTTTGTTTCACCCAAAGGATTAGTAATCCCACTTTTATAGAATTGTTCCAATTCCTAATACCATGTTTGGTTCAAGGAGTCAATTTTTTTTGGGATCGTCACTGTAGCAACGGAAATAACCCCCAAAAAACAGATTTTCAAGCATCAACCACTGTAGCAACGGCTATTTAAGCCCCCAAATGCTTATTTCCAGCAAAAGACACTGTAACAACATTTAAATTTCACTGTAGCAACGGTAATAAGCCCAAAAACCAGAATTTTCAAGCATCAAACACTGTAGCAACGGTTGTTTCTTAGGAATCACTGTAGCAACGGCTATTTCAGGGGTATGGTGTCTATAAATACACCTTGAGGCCTCACATATAATCACATCTTTCTCATTTTTCAACCCAAAAAAAATTCCCAAGCTCTTCAATTTGCTGTAGGATGATATCAGAAGGGTGCTGGCATAATTATGAAGTTTATTGCGACTGCAATATCCGAACACCGATGAAAGTGTGCAAGAATGGAAAAAATAAGGGTAGGTGTTATTGGGGGTGTGCAAAATTCCCAAATAAAGAATGCAATTTTTTCGAATGGGCTGAAGAAAGAGGAGAGTCATCAAGCACCCAAGGAAGCCAATATGTCAAAGAAAATAGGTACGGAGATAAATATATCTTGCAATCAAAGAAGCTGAAGAAAGAATTGAGACTTGTCGAAAATCAACTACTAGCTTGGAAAATTTCGGCAATTTTCTTAGCAATTTTTTGTGTTATTTTAATTATTACAAACTTCATGTCATGTACTTGTAATTGCAAAAACTATTGAGGATGTAATGAAAACTGTTGTTTGACTTGGGTACAAATTCTAATTGATATTGTATGGCTCAGTAATAGATCAACTTGTCATCATTGATTGCCCCACCTATAACTTACATGTTTATTACAGATTGCATTATAAGGATGAATTGCCTCGCCTAGACATTGTTAATTCAATGTAGGCTGCAATGTCATCCCCTTTTGCCTCATCTGGATAGAATAAACAATGTAAGTTAGATTGCATTCTCAGTAAACGCTGATCATCATCATTGCCAAATATCAAGTGCAAGGAGCTACACAAGCTGAAAACCAAACCGCAAATTAATCCACAGGCAAGGAAAACCAAAACAGCTCCCACAAAGCAGCAATCCCCATTACAGGAGCTACACAAGCTCTGAACAAAACAGAAACAAACCCAGGGGTCAAGAGCTACACAAGCTCAGAACCAAAAAACAACAAACCCAGCAGCAAGGAGGTAGACAACCTACAACGAAAACAGCAACAACCCAGGGGTCAAGAGCTACACAAGCTCAAAAGAAAAAAGCAACAAACCCAACAGCAAAGGAGGTAAACAACCTCTGTCAAAAACAGCAACAAACCCAAGTCACAGGAGACAAACAAGCTCAGCACAAAACAGGCACAAACCCACCCAGCAAGGAGCTACACAAGCTCTGAACAAAACTTAATCAAACCAAGGGTCAAGAGCTACACAAGCTCTGAACAAAACATAAACAAACCCAGGGGTCAAGAGCTACACAAGCTCAGAAGAAAAAAGCAACAAACCCAACAGCAAGGAGGTAAACAACCTATGTCAAAAACAGCAACAAACCCAAGTCACAGGAGACAAACAAGCTCAGCACAAAACAGGCACAAACCCACCCAGCAAGGAGCTAAACAAGCTCTGAACAAAACAGAAACAAACCAAGGGTCAAGAGCTACACAAGCTCTGAACAAAACATAAACAAACCCAGGGGTCAAGAGCTACACAAGCTCAGAAGAAAAAAGCAACAAACCCAACAGTAGCAGCAAAGGCAAGGAAAACCAGCAGCAGCAGCAAATGCTGCACAAAGCAACCAGCAAGCTCTGAACAAAACATAAACAAACCCCGGGGGCCAAGAGGTACACAAGCTCTGGACAAAACAGAAACAAACCCAGGGGTCAAGAGCTACACAAGCTCAGAAGAAAAAAGCAACAAACCCAACAGTAGCAGCAAAGGCAAGGAAAACCAGCAGCAGCAGCAAATGCTGCACAAAGCAACCAGCAACTCATGCTGCTGCAGAAAACTCAAAACAGGCACAAACCAGCAACCAGCAGCAGCATGAGTTGTAGAAAGCTCAAAACATGAGCTCACCCAAACATTTCAAGTATCAGCATGAGCTGCAGAAAGCTTACCTGATATCAAAATATAATCGGAAAATTCAAAGAAATCAATGATCATTCCACGACCTTACCTGCAACAAAGATTGCAAATATACCAATTCATCAATCCCACACCGACATAGATGTTCTTCAGAATGAAAATACAAATTGCAACATTAATAGTTTGCAATAAACACAACAATATCCAGAACGTAATATAATCGAAACCCAAGTAACTAGCTATCCGGCCAACCTTGGTCGTTAACTAATTTTGTGATGTACCTCTGTTGACCTTCCTTAGATTTAATGAAAAACCTCCTAGCTTCACGTTCATTGTCATATAAATGGTCTAAAACCCTATCGAGGAACTCCTCGGAATATTCAGACCTATGTTCCTTCAACGCTGTGGCCAACTGCTCAGTCCAGTGTATAACGTGTTGATTCCTCATTGACTGAGACATGGACTCAACAAAGGCACACATCATTTCCTCTTCACGATTAAATTTTCTGGTTTTTTTGCTAGATGATGAAGTCGTGTTGTCTTTACTCTTAGTCTTATATCTAGTGGGTTGTGATTGGTTAACAGCACCAGAACGTGGTTGGTTGCAAGCATCAGACTGTGGTTCAGCTTCACTCTCCTCTAGAATCTCGCAATCATCATCGGGAATAGGTATGGACCTACTAGACCCAATGTTAGCGTACACGGGTCTAACAAAATCACCCTTGGCTTGATCATCACCCATGATAACTTGTAAATTTTTGAAGTGAGGAAGGGGTTTGTTTATGTATGCTTTGTACTTAGAATTGGATTTGTCCTGCAATAATAAATACTTATAAATCCAGAGAATCAAATGTATTAAATTGAATGTGACAAGATAGATGCTGAATTGTTATACCTGGGCCCAAGATTTCAAGGTTTCCTCATCCAATGTAATCATTTTACTTGTTTCATCCCACCCAGCACCACTTATATCAAGGCAAGCTTTCATGTCATTGAATTTGTTCCGCAAACATTTCAAGTGGTTAATGACATGCAGGTGAGTGAAATCAGTCCTGAATTGCATGTTGATTTTCATGGCAGCCATTTTATAAGCTTCAGCCTTGAAGTTCTTGTCTGGCTTCATGCCATCCAATGCTAAATCTGCAAGATAAGGAATAAGCACATCATCGTGCTCTGGAAGCCAAAACTTATTAGCCACGCCTCTTGAGTTCAACCTGGTACACGGAACTTTTTTTTTGTGTGCTAATCTTTTCCCTCTTTTCAATGGCGAAGTGTGCTCCGCACCATCAACGTCATGAATATCCTTTCCAACTGAATCACCGGTGTTTGGTGAAAATTGATTAGGTCCACTACTTTGAGAACTGGCTGTGGGAAACATCAAACCTTGTGGACTGCCTAACATGCTCATGTATGACATTGGCGGCTGTGTCATCCCACCATAATTACCATCCCATGGTGGGAATGGTGAGAAAGTATGCGGAGGTGAGGTGAATGGCTGTGGTCGAACAGGCATGTAGTTCATGTTAATCCCTGATGTAGGACTTGGCATTGCATTCGAATGAGAAGGCACGCTTTGCTTATCTGCCGGATTGTTAGCCATACCTAATATATTTTGTAAGCATAGCCATATTAACAATAAAGAAATTTATAGAATATGGGATATGTATGCATTTAGCAGGGAATATAGTAAACGATGTAATTTCTAGTTCAAACAACATAACAAAATAGCAAGTGATAAAAGTAGTAATGGTTTGTTACAAATGGCTTAGAAACAATAAAAGATATCGATGCGAACAGTATGTTAAAATTCACCAAGTTATTACATAGCCATAGAACAGATGCTACACTAAGTTAAACCGCTCTCCATTGTGTTACCACCATTGTACTTTGCACAATAATCCACCCACATCGCCCAAGCAATTTGATCTCGTAACTCCTTCCATTCATTTCTAACATCTCGATCCTCTCTTTGTGTCCTACTTTGAGTATAGTCCATCACATTTGATTCGTCCTCATTTGTCTCTTCCCCAGTATCTTCATCAATTTCAACATTTTCATTTAAAATATCATCATCCGGATCCTCCAAGGCAATAAAGTTGTGCAACACAGTACACGCTAGTACAATGTCCACTTGAGTGGGAAATGGATAATTCGGCTTCCCCGCAAGAATTTTAAACCGATTCTTCAGTATCCCAAATGTGCACTCAATTTTTGATCTTAAAGATGAATGCCTTAAATTGAACAACTCCTTCCTATTCTTTGGTGTCCTACCGGTGTGCTCTTTTAAATGATATCGGACACCGCGATACGGGGATATGAAACCTGGCATTGTGGTGTATCCAGCGTCACATAGGTAATATTTACCTACATTAATTAAACAGTATTTTAAAATCTCAAATATTGCCAAGTATTTAATATATTATTCATAATATGCACAAGTGAGAATGAATACCATCGTAAACTCGGAGCCCGTTTTAAAATTATCATACAGTTACAGCTTAAGATGACTACTTATTGCTTGTCAAAATTAAGTAGATAATTGATACAAATATTTATTTCTTTTAAAGCAAGAAATCTAATTGCAATAATAAATTATTTTAACTAATGTTGCATTCCATCTCACACAATTCTAAACAAGCAAGATAGACCCAAAACAAACAAACTATATGGTTAGATTACTAATAATTTACACGCACACAAAAAAATTAAATAAAGTAAAAAAAACAGCAATTTAAGTTATTAAAAGACTGATTTGAAACATATTATGAAATTAATCTCTACACAGATACCCGCATGAAATTAATCTACCTAACAACCTAATTCTTGCACATTTACAAAAAATCCACTACACAGATACCCGCATGAATTGTTTTGCTGTAATATTATGAAATTAATCGAACAAATCATTGAAATTGCTGTGTGCCTCTATTTCTCATATGCTTCAAAATTAAATTTAATTCCTCAAATCACTGGAAAAATAAGCCAAAGTAAGAGGGGGAGATTTTTATACCTTACTGCAGAGGGGGGAAATGCCGACGTTCAAGCAAAAAACCCACCGACGTCAAAGAAAACACCGTAGCCACACTCCAACCAGAACAAGATCGAGAAAGAGGCCCGAACCCAAGTTGAAGAAGATCCCAACCAGAAGGGATCACCAAGAATCGAAGGCAAGAAACCCACCAACAAGCTCGTGGAAATCAAGAGCTAGGGTTTCGAGAAAGAGGCCCGAACCCAAGTTGAAGAAGACGAAGCGCGGGAGCAGAGGCGCGAGGAAGAGGGCGATTGAGGCGGGAGCGGCACAGCGATTCCAGATCTAGGGATCGAAATCGTGAAGCCCAGGAATCGGAATCGACGACATAGCTCAGTGTCAGAAATCTCGCCCAAATCCGAACCCGAAGCTCGGATTTGGGTTTCTATAAAAAAGGACAACTGTAGCTACTTTGTAGAAAATGTAATCCCAAAATTTTTGCTGAGCCAAACTCCAGAATAGGATTCACAAAAAATCCACAAATTACGAAAATGCCACTGTCAGAGCCCAAATACTAATCCTATTCTATAAAAGGGTGAAACAAACAGGCCCTAAGAGCCATGTAGGAAAACATAGTATGAGAGTCATGTAGTAGAGAGTAGTGTGGTTATTATTATTCAATGTAAATAACATTTATCAATTAGTGCGTAGTCTTGACTTATTCAATGTAAATAACTATCCTACTCCATGCACACTACTTTTACACTACAAAAAGATAAAAGTATGAAGTCCAAAATATTTAATTTCTTTCAAAATGATAACTAAGTTATAACTACATTTTCTACATTGCTCTCACACTGCACTAGATGAAAGGGTTGCTACCGTTGGTTCATTCATGAGTCATCGGTTTTAAAAATAATAATAATAATAAACCAGACTCCATACTTCCTCTCTTGTAATGTTAATAGAATAGTATAGTTATCACCGCTCATAATGAGTAAACTTCTTCTCCAAAAACCAACAAAATATTCATGTGTGTGTGATATTAGGTCTCATGTTTATGAGCCTATTGTCTAACCTGGTTTTGATGATTAACAAACAATTCCTAACATCGTTTTTCAGAATTTGCGTTTGCTCGCCAGGTATTTGAGATTCTCTTCCTCTGTTGGAGGTTGGATGGAATTGCATGTTAATGATGACATTCTTTGGAGGTTGGCAGAAATCGTAATGAAGCCATCATCATTCAACTCAAAGATTCTCTATCGCGCTTCATCCCCACTACCAAGATCAAGCTTTATGCAGATTATTTGCTTGGGTATAGTGTTTGTGTTTTAGGTGTTTTACTTTATGTGTTTATACTTAAAGCTCAAACCATACACATACGCGTTATTCGATTTATCGCTTTCATTGTTTGTTTCGATTTGTTAAAAGATTTTTAGAATATCTTTGTAGATAAGTTATTTGAAATGATTTCATTTAAATCAAGTGTTTAACGATCTCGTATTTTTGACCGTTTTGCAAAATAGTGAGTTTTCACAAATAAGAAATGCTATTTTAGAAATTTCTCTTCCAACATGTTTATTTTCATAGGTATAAACGTTTTCCCAAGTTTTATTATTTTTAGAGTTGATTTACTATTTTAAATCGAATTTAGAAAATCAACTTTTCAGGAAATTTAAATATCTGATGTGTCTATTTTCAGTTGACCGGTTGTTCTAGTCAGTCGACCGAACAGTACTTCAGTCGACTGACCGTATTTTTCAGTCGACTTGGCAGAAGTGTTGTTACAGCATTCTCTTTTATAGTCAATCAGTCGACCGACAAATAGAGTCAGTCGACCGAACAGTGTTGTTAGTCGACCGGCCAAGTTTTTGTCAGTCGACTAGCGTTGTTTTATTTTTTCAGAATTAGCCAATGATCGAATGCTCAGTCGACCGATATACCTATCAGTCGACCAATCATCTGTAACAGCTAGTTTTTATTTTGATATGTTTAAGAGGCTATAAATAGGCCTCCAGACTTATTTGAACACTAAGAGTTTTACAATATAGTTTACTCATTTTGGCTGCACGTTTTTGAGAATAAGAAGTGTGTTTGTTTATGAGAAAAAGAGCTTTACATAGTGAAGGATCTTAATTTCGGTTTTGAAGCGCTCATCGTTAAATCTCATCTCTCTTTGTTTTTGAGAAGTTTTCTAAACTCTTTCACTAGCCGATCTTATATATTGATTCTCATATATAAGCTAGATTTATTTGAGTTTGATTTTATTTTATTCATTGTTTACACACAACCACTTAACCTTTAGTATTTCATATAATTGGGTTGTGAGAGTGTTTTATTGAGAGAGATTATATTTTGTTCTCACTTGTTTAGAGAATAAAAATTATTTATTCGTACTTATTGTTAAACACGTTGTAATACACAAGAACACTTAGAGGAGTGGTTGGGACAGACCGGGGTCAATTCCAAGAGGAGTGGGTTGGTTATAAATCCTAGGGAGATGTTGTAATTCTAAACACTTGAGGAAGGTGATACGAGTAGTCCAACACTTAGAGAAGTGTAGCTTGTGTGATTGACATCGTATGTATTGTAAAAGTTATCAGTGATCTTTGGAAACCATTTTGTGTAAATTTTTGAGATATAGTAGAGATCTCCTCGAGGTGAGGAGCGAAGACGTAGGTCGAGGGTTGACCGAACTCCGTGATCATATCTTTTGTTTGTGATTGTTTTTTGGCACACTATTATTCTTCACATCTTGTGTTTGTGTTTATATCACATAGTGTCTCATTGTTTATCTTTGTTTATCTCTTTATATATCATATTGCTAGGATATTGTTTTATAAATTTTAATTTGTCAGTTAAAAAAAAAATTCAGACTCCATACTTTCTGTCTTATAGGGTATAAGTAATATAAATAGAGTAGTATAATTATCACGGCTCATAATGAGTAAACTTCTCCAAAAGCCAACAAAACATTTCTGTGTGATCTACACACACGTAGTCACATCATAATCAATAAACAGCCCCCTAACTCCTTCAACTCCTGTAAGGGCCTTTTTGTTTGCCTAAAAAAAAGAGGGAAATCAAAGAAATGGAAAACTATTAAAATGAAGAATTATTTTTGGAGTGTTTGGTTGGCTAAAAAAGAAGGAAATCAAAGAAATGAAATTGAAATGATGTTAGTTGTCACCTTATTATTGGATGATGTTTGTGATTTTTTAAGAAAACTAGTTTTGGAGTGTTCGGTTGGCGGAAAAAAATAAGGAAATGAATTATAAGAAACCTATTTCCTGTAGTTTCTTGTTTTCTTTTGTTCGGTTCATTCTTAAAAATAAGAAATGAAATGAGATGAGATGAGTTGTCATTGTATTATTGGGTGATGTGAAGAAAGATTAAGAAAAGTGTTTTCATAACTTTTTGGGATGAAAATGAAGAAATGAAATGTTAATGAGATGAGGTGAATTCTTATAATATTTTATTGGATGATGTGAGTGATTTGAAATGATGAGAAGAGATGAGTTGAGTGATGTTTGGATGAAAATAATATTTTATTAGATGTGATGGATGAGTTGTTAGATGAAAATAATATTTTATTAGATGTGATGGATGAGTAGTTAGATGAAAATCATATTTTATTAGATGATGTGGATGAGTTGTTGGATGGAAATAATATTTTATTGGATGTTGTGGGTGAGTTTTAGGGATGGAAATGGAGGAAATTGTGAGTTTTAAGATTTTTACCATTTCCATTTTCATTTCTTGGTATTTAGAAAACAAACGAACAAGCCCTATATCTCTACTTCAAGAGCGCTGCTAATATTTGTATTGCTGACATTTCAATCCAAGCTTTTATTTTCAGTTATCTAAATAACTAAACATCAAGATGAAAGAATGAACAACAATAATAGAAAATTAGACGTTAGCCTATCAATGCACTTAAATCATTCGCTAGTTGATAAAAGTACCATACGCAACATGTGAACTAATCGCGCTGCTTGTGCATACAGTTGCCTCCAAAAGCGTTTTGTTTCTTGATCCAAAAGAACATGATGACCAAATTCATACATGTAAGGAGTTAAGTCAGAGGAGAGGATGACAAACAGGAAATGGTAAAGGTAAAGAAGGCTATTTACCACGGCTTACAGAGGGCAAGCACAAGAAGAGCTATCAACAGTAAAAACCATCAAGTACAATTAAGGTAAAATAAATAACTACTCAGAAAAAAAAAAGCTTTCCCCTCAATCCGGCAAAAGGGTAAATGTTGTATTAGTTGCTATCGTCCTAAATCTTTTCTTTTCTTTTCTTTTTTCCCCTCAGCCAAAAATGTTAGGTTGCGCTGGTTCTCCATCCCCAAGTGACACTGAACTGTGATGATGAACCATGTACCACCGTCCATTGTGAAGCTCATAGACATTTGTTACATGGAATGGCCCTGAATCCACATCAACATACGCTTTCATGGTCACCCATGCCATGTCAATCAGCACCCGAGCTTTCACATCCCGAATCTCAAAGATGACTCCTTGCCCCCCCTGAACAACCCAATTGAATGCTAGAGCCCAACTATCAATCACTGCGTTAAACCTGTAATGCAAATAAAATAAACATTAAACATTATGACGATGATATAAGTTTGCCTAATAAACAACATGACTATAGTAATACATCATAAAGGAGGAAAAGTACAGCAATAAAGCTAGTTTGTTGAACAAGCAACAAGACTTCTACAATCCTGCTTTAAGAAACCCCATTAAATTAAGTTTTTGACATTACCTTACTAACAGTTAACTATCAGAGGAGAAGACCCATAATAGAAATGAAGGAAGAATAGAGTCATGTAGCTGACCCATAAATTTGGGGTAAAGTCTTTGACGCTGTTGTACATATAACTTGCAGCAAAGAATGTGTGAACAAAATTACAACCTTTTTCCCCACATCAAATTCCTGAATCCACAGAGTGCAATACATAGTTTGGCTCAATCCACTGTCAAAATTGACTAGTAAATATTGCACTTGACTCTTTGGACTTATATTATAAACCAGTTACTCACTCAATCAATATCCAATGTGGGACTAAATCTTAGGGGTATCACAATCATCCTACCTTAGTTACACGACGTCCTCTCGTCACGGTATGACAATTGGTCTGTCCCAGTATCACCACCAGACAATGTGGACTCTAGGGTGGCTCCTACAGGCGTCTATAGGTGTCTCCTACCGCATTCACGTTGTGTAACACTAAGTTCCGTAGAGCACTTAGCTCCACATTTCCAGCTGACTAAATGCTCCGATACCATTAGTCACGCCCCGGGTTCGTGCATTTCCAGCTGACTAAATGCTCCGATACCATTAGTCACGCCCCAGGTTCGTGCATGTGACCATGTGTAACATAATCTTCTCCCAACTGAATACATGATACCATATCTAATTTACTTAAAGTGCCTCCATAAACCATCTGTTTTGTCAAAATTACCCACCACAACAGTTTTCTTTCTTCTTTTAACTCGAGTACAATAATATCCAAACAACCAGTTCAGGAAACTGGTATTTACGAGGCTGACAGAAGTTGTGATATTCAACTAAATAGGCTGGACTCAAACTATTGATTAACTTCGCTGATGATTGGTATAAAAACAAGTGTGTTTGAAGCTTCATCCAAAGCTTTGTAGATGTTCTATCAGTTTGAGGCACTGCCTTTCAGAATTTAGTAAGAAGCAACAAAGTGATACTGCCTTTTCCATGTTTCTCATAGCTTATTGCTACTTCAAGTTTCAACCATGCACAAGCAATTTAAATCATAGTTTACCGGCTGCTAGTTATAGATAATATCTTTCTATAATAGTTCTAAAAACATCCATAACTATGAACTACACTAAGCTGGTTGGAAGTAAGTCTTTTCTGATAAAAATGGTGGGAGATCCCCCCACGTTCCATGAAAAAGAGCTTAATGAAACATATAGATACAAAATATAGCACCCTCCTCACAAAATCAAAATCATACAAAAGGCCACATGGAGCAGACTACAAGTAGTGAAGCTCAGTAGCAGACTGCAGCACCCTACAGACGTGAAATATGCTCTTTAATTCATCAATGCATAAGCAAAATTTAAATTCTAGCTTAACAACTACTAAGTACTAACCATACATAATCCCTTTCTATAACACCACTTAAATTTCATATTAACTACACTATGTAAGACATGAAATAAGACTTAGAATCTAGTACCAAATCATTTTTTTCCCCTTCACCACATGACCAAATTGTCAACCACAATAGCCAAAAGCCCAAATGGGCAAACAAGGTGTGTCTAAAGAAGATAAAAATAAAAAAACATCCTTTTTGTCACCCATGCAAAGATGGTGTTTGCATGAACTCCTTCAATGCTTACATCTAACAAAAACTTCCTTGACCTATAAACAAAGCACCTACGTTGCATGAGTACAGGTAAGGGTGCAGGTACAGGACATGGCAAATGTGTAAAAGGTAAGGTACAGGGACACGGCTACAAATATGCATGCTATGTATATTTATATGTATAAGAATTAATAATTTACATTAGACCAATATTGTTTTCTCATTTACCTAAAACCAATATATAAGAAATAGTGTAAAGTGTATAATATACATCTAAGAAGTGTATGAGGATTGTTTTAAATTAAAACATGCATTATATAATTAAGTACACCCCCTGAATAAACATATGCATATATTCGAGACGTGTCAAAAAAGAATAGAAGATCAAACCAAAATAGTATATCATTAAAATCTTTCTCTTTTATCTACTACTTAATAACTAACGAAAACTCAAATGCTACACTAACTTTCCCAATTTTCCACGTATTTCGCCTCCTATTTTCATAAAATTTCCATTATCCATGTCTTCCAATTGAATTGGAGATATATTTAACATCTCATTCATAAAACTACACCCACTATCCTTTCATCAATTCAAAAATAGTTACTATTCCTATGGATAACAACTGGGCTCCACTACCCAAGAAAAAAACCAGATTTACCCTCTCTCTCCACTCTTCTCTCTTTGCTGCCTTTTGAACTGACCATCCCAAATGTTGTTCCGCCCTATCACGACCGACAAACAAAATGTGAGATCTGTTCTCGACTGGCAAACAAAATGTGAGATTTTTCCATTCTTTCCTTGCATATTCTTCTTTATATAATTTTTATGAAAATTTTATCTTTTAGCATTTTATAGGATTTGTTCTTAATCCCTAATTTTATGTTGAAATTTTTTTTTGGGTTGTCTTGAATTTGCGAAGGCAAACTAACAAAGACGAGATTTTTCCATTTTTTTCTTGCATATTCTTCATTATTTAATTTTTATGGAAATTTTTTATTTTCCTCTCCCCAATTTTCTAGGGTTTATTCTTGATCCCTAATTTTATGTTGAAATTTTTTACAGTTTTCTTGAATTTGCAGTGACAGACAATCTAAGGTGAGAATTTTCCATTCCTTTCTTGCATATTGTTCTTCATTTAAATTTTATGAAAAAAAATTCTTTTTACGGTTTTATATTTTATGTTGAATTTTTTTTAGGGTTTTCTTGAATTTGCAGCAACGAACAATGACAGGTGAGATTTTTTTCCCATTCTTTTCTTGCATATTCTTTTTTATTTAATTTTTATGGAAATGTTTTTAGGGTTTTATATTCTCATTTCCCCAATTTGTTCTTTATGAAAAATTCTTTGTTATAATGTGCTTCAATGATTTCTTTCCAATGTGTTGATAACTAAAATTATTTATTGAATTTTTCCACCCGAAGATGGCTTCAAGTACAATGAATGAGTTCCTTTGTTGCATTTTTTTCAAGTATAGGTTTGCGCTTTCTTAACTTATACCCTTGCTACTAATTCTATGAGTGAGATTGAAGCAACTCAGCTACTCTGTAGATAGCTTCATGTGTGTTACGTGGCTACAGGGGGAAGCCATTCAGTCAGTAGGGTTTGAAACAATAATTCAATGAGCATGAGTGTTCATGCTTTAATATCTTACACGCAATCTCAACTGGGAAAAATTATTTATATACATTTCTTTATGCTTTATTCAAGTTCAGATGGAGGTCAAGTTGTTCAAAGTAAAGAAGATCAACCGTTATGGCTGACTTCCTCACACAGAGAATTGAAGGGTAAATACTCACTATATTGGGTATTCCTCGAGAATAGTTATGATCTGATACTTGTGTTGGTTAAAGGGTAAATACTCCCAATATTGTTAAATGAGCCCTAAAACACATTACATTTACCGTGATGCTGCCCACATAAATCTATTTGACTCAGTTCTTTTTTTATTTCAATATGTGGAGGGATTTGATGCACAGTTACAACCATAAAGTAATAAAATATGCCTCTTTATGAAGTGCTATAGCTATTTTGCCTACTTTGTTTCTCATATACATTGTTTTTTCTTCAGAAGTTTTTCCATATACTTCATTGATGTATTAAATAAGTAGTTGAATTAAGGTCCTTTGTGCATATCTACTGCTCATATACAAAACACTTACATGTTTCATTGTCCAACTTTTAATTGGTTAGAAGTAATGGATCCAATTAATTGAGGTATTGATGCATCAGAGCTCAATGTTTCGTGTTCTAGACATGAAACCTGATTTTCATTTTAAGGCCATTATCCCTCTTTGAAGGAGGTCAAGCCACGTTCAAGGCATTGTGGGTTCATTACCTATAACTTTAAGATATCTAAGTTAAAAATTGGTGAAATTAAGGTATTAAATTGCAATTAACCCCAAATTCATTTATAGTATATTGTGTTTGATTTTGTGTTTATTTTCTGTTTCTAACCTTTTTAAAATCTAGGTCTTCAAGATAATATTTTCATATTCAGGGTATTAGGAGGTCAAGAAAAACAAAGTAGTATTCTCAGTTCTCTTATTTGTAGGGACTTACTATTGTGATATATGCTGTTTTTCCTTTGTTTTGTTTGTTCTTTTAAAACAAAGAATTGTATTATAGGAATTTGACAATGTATAATGTACAGTAAAAAAGATAATTAGTATCGTGATGATGCAAGTTGAATTCGTTTTGCAAGGACGATACCTTTTTGGTTGAACGGATGAAATTGCTCCTACTACTTTGTTGCAAGCAAGATTTTTTTTTTTTTTTTGGGGTGTGGAAATAATGTCAAATGCTTCAACAGAAAAGCTATGAGGCAGCAATCGAAAGATATGAGTTCTATTTCTTAAAAGACATATCTTAATTGGACAATCCCGTGTAGAATTGATTCCTTAAAAGACATTTCTTAAATTAGACTAGCCCGTGTTTAATGCGGGCACTGACCTGGTACCAATATATGGAACTACGTCACCATAATTCGATATTTACTTAGACCAGTTAGACAAGGCTTTCTTAATCTTTCATAAACAAAGCCTATTATATAAATATATTAGGGACTCTTAATGAACCCTACTTGCTGAAATGAACAAGTGGTAATTTTTAAAGCCATTGTTCGTAAAGCTACTTATCACAATGTCCTATGAAGAAATATAATAACCTTACTATTGACAATGTAACTAATCTGCAAATGGCAGAATGAATTTTGTTTCCAACAGCGGGATGCAAGATGTAATGTGAATTGGCAACAGCACCTCCTACAAATTTTTTTAAGGAGTACAAAACATCAAGCAACATGTTACTCGCTTTCTGAACAATAGAAAATGACATTTCACGGACAAGACGTCAGGGATGCGAATGTAAACATTTTAGCAGTTCGCCTTTAGATTGCGAATTAATATTATATAGAAGTGATGGATCTGGATTTGGGATGATGACAAATCCTAATTCAATGTAAATCCAGATATATCCTGATGACAACAAATAAGGGTAACTTTTGCAGGCAACCCAATATCATCACAGTAGCACTTGCAAGCAAATAATGTTTTGCAAAGTGCTTGAATGTTACAGCTTTTATTTGTTTTCGTGCAAATAGACATAGGGGGAAGATATATTCCCAACAATTTTTATAATCTCCTAGAGAAATATGGACTTAAACATCAACGTGCTGCTTGTGTGTAATCTGGATGTTTAATTTTGAAATAAGATCTTTGCAAGGCTATGCATTTAAATTCCATTCCTCTCTGTTAGTTTATGGGCCAAAATGATATCATATCGTGCAAATAAATACATGTTCTCTAAATGCATAGCTGACAAGAATGTTGATGGATGAGCGGCTACATGCTAAAAAAAATAAAAGACATAAAATGACAGCATTTACAAGAAGTTATAGATTGCTTCTAAGGACAAATTGAATGAGAACAGCAGAACATGATTCCAACATGTGCAACAAAGATTTATGAGTCTACTATTAGGATAAGCTGTCCTATCAATTCATCATAGACGAAACAGTGAGAACTAGGGTTAAACCTAAATGGACGTCAAAATTGACAGTAAAAAAAGGATACAATACTCATTAATTAATTAACAAATATGTTGGCCCTTAAAAAACTGATTGAGAACAAGGATTAAACAAGACAACAGTTGATATTGCAAGACTGATGATATCATATAAAAGGCTTGATTTTATGTTAACATGGTGAGTATATGTGTGTGTACCCAAAAGGTACACGCACACACATACACACAGGGTGTTGATACACACACGCACACACATACACACACAAGGTGTTGATACACACAAAAACAAATGAGTGAGAAGGGTATGGCACGCGACTTTACACATAGCAGTAAACTAAAGACCAATGGGTCAAGCTCATCTTTAGCTAGAGTATTTGCAATATTATAACATCAAGGCATAAATGGACATTCACCAATGATTGCCTCAAGGAATCATGGCAAGAATGCATTCGCTAATGTATATAAAGAGGTATCATAGACAAAGATCGCACATGAATTGATGAGATGAAACTGCAGCTATAACAGGATTTATAATAAAGTAGCAAGGTATTTTCATTTGAAGACGAGTTTTGGGAGAACTAATGTTAACTTTCAGATTTTAGGTTTTATTGAAGGTTATTAGTTAGCACTGTTTTAAAAAGCCTCCGCTTAGTCCGCCTAGGCGTACACCTAGGCCTAGGCGGTACCCAGGCTGCCTAACTAGAGTCTAGCGCCTGGGTGGTACCTAGGCTACCCACCAAGGTTTTGGGAGTGTTTAGGGGAGTATTGTCTGCTTACGTGGACTGCACCCTTTAGGCCTTGGACGTGATTTTCTGTATTGCAACCTCCACATCCTCCAACCTCCTTTAAACTCCTTTAACCTCCAAATATTAGCACCTCCACTATCTCCTCTGACCTTCAATAAAACCTCCTCGACCACCACTTAAATGAAGAAAGAAATTCACTTAAATGAAGAAAGAAATTCGCCTAGACACCAGTCCAACACCTAAGCTTTCTATAACATTAACATTTACTAACAATTATTGTAATTAAAAAATAAAAAAGAAATCCTACAAGTCGCATCGGGTCCAACGCCTAGGCCCCTTAGCGTTTTCTATAACCTTGTTAGTTATTATTTTGACTGTTTAGTATTTAAGTATGCATGATTTATTGTGGATCCAAGATTGCTATCCTTTTTTTGGCCAATTTATATGAATTTAATACATATTTTATCAATTATAATAATTAAATAATTTAAAAAATAACTAAACGCCTAGGCGTCTAGGCGCTAGCTCAAACGCCTAGTCCGCCTACGCCTTCTGTAACATTGTTAGTTAGGTTAGTCAAAAGGGTCAAACATCAAGGAGAAATAATGAGGTGAGCTAAACCAATCTAGATTCAGCCAACCACAATTTCAAGCACACATAGTTTCATTCCCTTACAATATCTGAATATCGGTAAACATGGCCTTAATTTTAGCCATTCCCTACAACATAATTCATAAACATATCAGCTTTCAATATATTTTTGTATTTGTTCAAATTTTCCTATCTTTTTATGCAATCATTAATAATGTCTTATGTTTTCAAAAAATAGTTCCTTTTCCCTTCCTCCAAGCAATTTAACTTAGATGCAATCAACTATCAACATTCAAAAAAGAACAATGTGTAGCTGCTATTGATAGGTCAAATCTCAAAAACATTACTTGAGTTTCTTAACAGAGTGATGACTCATGGGAAGTGAACAAATCTTAGAAAGCAGGATGCTAGATACGACATGAAGGGGTAGAAGTAAGAGAAAAAGGGAAGAGAAGAAAATGAAAAGTACTCATTATTAAAACTTACGAAATCAACTACGCGCAAAAAATTAAAGAATTAAAACCAGCTATCTCCAGAGAATCACCAAATGTGTGGGTCAGGGTGCCTCTATTTATAAAAGGCACCAAAAAACAGCAATGTAGTCACTCAAAAAATAAAGTGGAATCCGAATAACTCAAATAGTACTGCGTGTCACTTACCTATCCTAACAAATAATATTAGCAGTTCCACACAGTCATTACAGACTCATAAACATCAAAATTATACACAAAATCTGAAACTATATCAGAAAAGCTAGACACTAAATCAAACTCGATCTTCTAGGCCATTTCATTATTTCAGAATCGAGTTTGAAAATAAACCTAAATCCAGATTAGAAGGTTCTAAGCTTAAAACCAGCTCAGCTAGAGGAAGCATATCAAAACGTGAATGGGGGAAAAAAGAAGTCATCTAGTTATGCACAGAGAAGGAAGCAAAATTCAGAATAAAAATAGTTTTTAACATATAGCACGCAGAAAATGACTATTTTTATCAAAAGAACTTCACCTTACAGTTACGCTTCAGAATCTAGACGCTAGAAAATATACCATCATTTTTAGCACAAATCAGAAGGTATCTAACTGCAAACTCAGATAGCGACAAAAACATCACCATGCAATTGGCATTGTGTTTAGAAAAAAGGTAAAAATACAATCAATATCAGTTTAAAGCCTCTCGCTGTGAATGATGAATAGGACTTCATTCAAATTTTTGCTGCGAAGCTATTTTATGTTGGATATAGTCGTGTTTCCTATAGATGGAGTTATGAAGCCAAGAGAATACCCTCAGTCAGTGTGCCAAAATGGTACAAAAACCCATTTTCGTATAAATTATAATCCCCAACAGGCCTATGCCAAAGCATTATAACAGTTCAAAACTAGTTTCAAAAATATAAACACGTTGTTCTCCATTTAATAGCTAAGACAAAGGCAGAATATGTTAAAAATTTGATAGGAATGCGAAAACAGTACTCAAAATGCAAGTCAATCAGCAGGGTGATTGTATTAGAGGGTAATATCAGCAAATATACCAGTGAAAAAAGAAATAAGTTTTAACTTGAACAGAAGCATACCCAGTAAAAAGCTCCCCAGACCCATGAATACACTTTACATAATCTGCTTGAAGCCAAAAACGACTCATTGCCGGAAGTGACCTGTCCCTAATGATGTTATAGAATTCAGCATTAATGCTAATAATGGCTTTTGTGGCTGCATAATATGACTTCCATCCATTGATTGGGGTGACATTGTCCTGTTCAGTAGTGAAGTCCTACAAGGAAACATATAAGCCAAACATCCTTGTACTCATAAAACAGAACACAACAACAATAAAGCTTTTGACACATATTCTCTTAGCACAGGTTGAATGTATGTAAAAAAATGAGAAAAAAAAAAAGAAAAAGGTGGTTCTTGAATGCCTGACCAACCCTCATCAAGTAAAGGACATTCGCTTTTAATGCTAAGTGTCTGAACACGAGGGTTTGCTAGTACACGTTCTAGTATGTGGTTGTTACTAAAAGAGGAAGGAAAAGGAAATAATATGCAGGTTCTAGTATGTGGTTGTTACTAAAAGAGGAAGGAAAAGGAAATAATATGCAGGTTCTAGTATGTGGTTGTTACTAAAAGAGGAAGGAAAAGGAAATAATATGCAGGTTCTAGTATGTGGTTGTTACTAAAAGAGGAAGGAAAAGGAAAGAATATGCAGGTAATAGTAAATTCAACCGCGGGATTTTACTAAGAACTACGAGATTTTAACTTGTATTAAGTAAAGAATATCCAGATATTTTTCTGAAGCGAGAAATATTAAACTCTAAGTTATAATCCAACAATGAAGCGACTATAGATCATATCGAGACTAGGTCATCCTTCTACTTCTTCTGAATCTTCCAACATTTCTTCTGACCAGAAGAAGACAAACTGCTTATGTACTGACTTCTCAGCAATTTCTTTTTAAGTGCCCTATTGACATAAAACTTAGATGTTTGTTGTCATTTATCTTTCTTTGAGAATCAATTACTCTGTTATCTAAGAGCATCTCCAACAATCTCCCAGTACGGAGCTCTTGTTGGAGTGCTCTCAAGCATGGGGCCCGCTTACGAGCTCCCTACTAGGAGAAATATTCCAACAAACTCCCAGCTAGGAGCTCAAATATTATTTAAAAAATTCATTTTTTTAAATAACGTTTTATAAATATATTTTAAAACAATAAATTTAATAAAAAATAATTTTTAGTGGGCCTCCCCCCCTTAGGAGCTCCCAAGTGCTCCACAAATTTGTGGAGCTCCCCCCACCGCCAACTAGGACTTAGGAGAGTGCTTGAGAGTTTGTTGGAGCACCTTAGGAGCTTTTTCCTTGCCACATCACCCTTAGGAGCCTCCTTGGGAGGCTCTTGGAGATACTCTACAACTTAAATATAAACAGCCACGG